TGAAATTTGATGAGACTTTCACAGAATCTTTACTACATGTATATTGCCACTGTGCACCTCCTATTTTACTTGTTAATCCGACACATATTTTAGGTTTCCCATAGCAAAACATGGACATTGCCATTATATTCATATGGGAGGCGAGGGTGGGGGTTTTATCATTTATTGAACTCATTGCTCGCAGTACCTCTAGTTTTGTTTGTATTAAGCAGAAGAGTTTCAATATTTCATACATATCATAAATTCCCGTTTTGTCAAAAAAGAAATGGTTTGGTATGGTACTAAAATTGTCTACAAAAAAATCTTCAAATATACGTGTTTTATCAGCGACCCATTCTAATAATTTACTTAAAAGTACTGTTAATCATGAGCTCACTTAAATGATGACCCCCGCCTCACATATGGTTATAATGGCAAAGTCCACGTTTTGCTTTGTGAAACCCCAAATAAGTGTTAGATCAAAAAGTAAAATAAGAGGTCACAATAACCTTATGTAATACAGAATATGTGGAAGTATCATTCACTTTTATTCAGTAGTATATAGGAGGAGTTGCGGATAAGAGATGGGTACCCTTCAATATTATTGAAAGAAGAGCCGTGTCCATGTTTTGCTATGGGAAACCCAAATCATGTGTCCGATCACAAAGTAAAATACTTCATAATGACACTATATGACAAAGATTCTTTGAAAGTCTCATTAAATTTCATTCAGTGATAAAGGAGTTGTTGATAATAGATGGACCCGTACTCTAAATGTAATGTTCAACCAGACGGACGTACGGACGGATGAACATTCCGATCACTACAAACCCTCCCACTTTTCAAGCAGAGGGAATAAAAATGTACATTGCCCAATATTTCAACTATAAATTCTGGTTTTAGAACTGAAATACATATTTCATATAAGCACCGATGTACACCTGGAAAAAACCTTTCTTTTACATTGGTATGCTAAGAAATGATTCATTTTTCTGTTTTTTTGGTTTTTTTTCGTTTTTCAATGTCAAATTAAAATGAATGAATCATTACCCCTTTTTTCTTCTTTTAGCTGATTATAAAGAGGTGAAACAATTACCCTCTTTCCCGATCTTATTATTTTTATGAACTTTACTAGTGTTTCAAGGTTCCAAAGCTCAATGGTGGTATCGGTAGGTTACGTATACTGTCATGTGTAATAGCAGGGGAGGGGTGCGACCTGTGTACAAGTACTAATGCACTTCCTATCAAGAACTGTGGAAATTGATACATGTTCGGATTGTTAGCATGAACACCATCCGAAGATGCATTAATTGATGATTGACTACCACATGAGGTTGTTCCCCTCCTGTTAAATAGGGATCAATGCCAAAAGGATGCAAAGATTTGCCCATTAATTTAAAAGTGATTTTCAAGTGAAAACGGAAATGCAAGTTAACTAATGATTTTTATGGCTTAACATAATTTGTGTTTATTTTCCCCAAAACAGATAGAGACAGATTTTTATTCTTTTTACACAGTGTCGCGGCCAAATTTTAAGCACAGTTTGTAACACCTCATCACAATCAGCTTTTAACTATTGAGAAGTGTTGTCTGTCCCGGAAGGATGTGATTATTATATATTATTTCCTGTACGTTGATTCTTCATCTGCAGTTTTATAAACTTCCCGCCTTAGCTATTTTTGACTAACCGTTAATCACTTTATTTTCGCGTTATTAAGCGAGAAAGTCTGCTCGCGAATAGTTTTCTCTCGCGTATGTATGTTACGTAAAGGATAAGTCTGGCATATAAATACCTATCTCGCGAGTCGACAAAATATTGTGATTTACTGTATCACAGTAAAGCTATAAAATATGGCACTTTTGATGCACTAGGGAAAATACATGGTATATAAGTAGAACAATTACCCTGGAGACTTGCTCAAACAATAGTGTTCCTGCTATTGTTCCAGGAAGTCATCGCTTGCTTAATTTAAAAAGGTCGGTCGTAGAAAATTTTCCTTGTTAAAAATGAGTAGAAGGGTCAAATTAAAAATTCGAGAAAATATATAACTCTAGATAAATTAAAGGTTTTTTAAAAATCCGAGTTATTCTTTAAAGAAAGCAATAAATCAGGAAGGTAACGAATAATCATATTGACCCTGTAGCACTCTGTTTTCTGTTTACATATATTTTTTTTTTATTATCAGACATGGATTTCTTAAATGAAGATATGATCTACTTAGAATGAAAATACATGTATCTGTGCCTAATAATTATATTAATTTTATAGTTATATCACTTAATATTAATTTTGTATCTTGTTGAAATACTTAGTACTACGGCAATAAACCCGGAAAGAAAATCGGACAAGTGGAGTTCAATGCAATCTTCTGAGGGAGTGCACCTGTCCCTACCGATTAGGGAAATAACAATGTATAGGTCATACATGTATACATTATTTATAAGGGCCGAATCTGGAACTGTAATTTAAGCAAATAGGCTATGCCTCAACTCATAATATACTGTACGTTTACATATTTTGACATCAAAATTTAGCGCAATCTATTGGTATGGCGTTGATTGCGTAATCATGAATTTGCAATACACATGTCCGTTTCGTGTATTGTATTTTTTGTAAATGATAATTTCTAAGGAGTATTCATAAATTAACGGGAACGAAAATTTTAAGTACACTTACAGTCTACGATGTAACCAAAGTGCAGCAACTCTGTTTTTATTCGAAATCCTTGGCATTGATCAGTATAGACCTTCAGTATAGACCTCACAAGTTCCCTCCCTTTTTATTTAAAAGCAAGAGGTACTGTGAGCAATAAGTTTATTAAATACCCCCAGCCTCCCATATGAATATAATGGAAGTGTCCATGTTTTGCTGTGGGAAAACCAAAAGGTGTATTGGAACAAAAAGTAAAATAGGAGGTCGCAATGGCAATATGTAATAAAGATTCTGTGAAATTTTCATCAAATTTCCTTCAGTGGTATGAGAGGAGAAGCGGATAAGAGATGGGTAACCCAAAGCGTAAGAGACGGGCGGACATACGGACATACCGATTACTATATACCCTTCCACTTTTCAAGTGGGGGTATCAAAAGCACATAGTACTTCCTAAATGACTAAACTTTTCATTTGATAGCAAGTCCTTTGACCCTTTGACCTTGACATTGGAGTTTCACCTACTTTTAATTTTTTTAAACCTTGGCCACAACTTCTAAACGGTTAGGGCTTCCATACTTTACATATACATTCTTTGTGGCAAGACCTTTCATTGGATACCAATTATCTTGACCTTTTGACCTTGACTTCGGAGATTTCCGTACTTATGAAAAAACTTTAACCTTGGCCTTCTTTGATATTTCGCAACTGTATTTCCAGTGAGAATACCCTAATTTTGGTACCAATATATTAACTTTGCATTTAAGAAAAGTATAAACTTCTCTATGTTGTCATACGGTGGCATCAGTGTTTCATAAACACATCTTTTTTTTGTATAAGATATCGCATTTTTTGTCTTAAAATGTAAAAAATATTGTTTAAATTGTTTTATTTTTTCAAACAAATTCAAAGTACTTTCAAAATTTTATGAATTTAATTTTACATTTAAAAAAAACCCTTGAAGACAATCCCCTATATTGCTATAATGGACTGTATTGGTGGGTCTACGATTTCGATGGGGATGTATCCTCACAATATCTGACAGGGTCCCGAGTCTACTTGTTGTGGGGGTGGGATGACAAATTTCATTCGATTTTTCTCTTACTGAGGACCCCAAATTTTATTTGCAGTTGACAGAAAACTGTGTCATATTCTGCATCTCTCTCTCTCGCTCTCTCTCGTAATCGTGCATTTGGTTCCTGCATTACTGAGTATACTACAAATTACCTAATTAGATAACATTAAACCAAAGTATGCATGACTTCTAACTCGCAAGTCTAAATTCGGGAGTAGTGTTATACATGTGTAGAGATTATCGAAACCTTTCCGTGAAGTTGAAATGCATTCTTGATATTAATATTTAATATATATATGTAGAATCAAATTATTTTGTTATGAATAGCCTTAACATCCCACTTCCTTCACTTTTCCGATATTTCGAATTTACAAATTGAAAATGAACGCATTTGTCACATGTAAAGAAAAGACAGAAGTTATTTTCATTGAATCAAAGAGATATCAGAGATGAATTATATGGTTTACTAAAAAACTCACGATATAATATTTAGTTTTAAACAACGAGCAACGGAGTTTGAGGCGATATGGTATAGTAATGCGCTTGTTAGGGTGTGCGTGTGAGTGTTTGCGTTATTTGTTCTTGTGCAGAACGTAAGAGTTCGATGTCGCATGCTTTCTTCATTTGGAAATCTATTAAGCTTCTATAAACCCTGTATCGTTTGGAACAAAAGCTTTTGTGTTCGGAAGATCACATATTTCTCTCATGCTCTTAAATTTCTACAAAGATGCTTATTAGTTTTAATTTTTATGTGTGTTACATAGAAATTAAAATTTATAAAAGAAAAAGCGTACCCGATCAAAAATAGTTTACAAGATAAAGATAAAAACCATAAAATAGATTGTTTACTATAAGATAAATTATGGTTATATAATACATAAATTTTGATTCATAATTTTAATGACAGGAATATATGACATACTATATTTGTCTCATCGATAAAAAAGAGTACGAGTTTTATTAATTAAACGTTTTTATTTCAAATATTTTCAATAAATGATCAATATCGCGATTTCATCTCTTATAAGGGCATGGGACAAGACATAAAACGTTTCATAAAATTAAATTAAAACATGATCGATAGGACAGTTTTCCGAAGTGTATAAAACAATCAATTCCATTATATTCATTAATTATCTGTTGACAGGTCTGATGCAATGGTATCTTTATAAGAAAACGCATGATGAAATCAGGAAAACTCCTTATATACAGTATACAGCTAATATATTAAAGCTGACCTAATTATTTATAAATACAGTCCACGGAGAGGTGTGCGTCGTTCGTCCAATGAAATCGCTTCGTTAGTCCAATGTCAAGTTCGTTTGACGGCGATTATAAACAAGTCCGGATTGAATTTTGTCTGTGATCAATTCTCACTGAAATGGATAACGGAATTTCTCCAGCCAAAAAACAGAAAGTGATCAACGGTGATAATGTAAGTAGTTTGGTCACCTCTGGTTTCCAAATTATCCTTTTATTGCACGAAACATACACTTTGTTTATTAAGTTCATTGCTTGCTCATGCAATACAATAAAACAGGATCTTTTCTACTGGATAACGTCCAAGTCATTGATTATTTTGTATAACTTCACATTGACGGACGCGAGGCATATAACTGTCCATGCTAGGCTTCTCTCATGCACAGTCGACCTCTTTTTTTCTGCTATATTACTAATATTACTAATATTAGTCTTTGCATGTTTTATTTATAAAAATATAACCGATCGATAGTGATATATTGCACGGTTGATTCAATCAAATATGAATTAATCCATCATTGTATTGACTTTATGTTTTGACTTTGTACTTGATTTCGTAAAAATACGTTTTATATCCCGCAAAATGTATAACATATTAGATTATGTAATCGTCATGAACATATGGTCTCGTATTTGGATAGAAAACGTATTGTGAATCAGTGAAAACTGACAATATTCGTACTAAATATTGATTTTTACATGTTTAATTTAAAAAAGGCATGATATTGATCTTTTCCTTTCGCAATAGACAGGAATCTTTTAATTTAAATTTTAGTAAGTTCAAAGATGCAATTTTCAAATCCCGATCATTATAAATTAATTTCCAAAATTAATTCAGGATGTAAACTTTTACCTTTTTTTCAGTTAAATTTTTATTTTAATTTAAACTCAGTGCGGTATTCCAGAAAAAATTGAAAATCAAGAGTATAACGTTTCATTTATGTATAGCAGGATTTGCATATGGTATCTGAATTTGTCTGGCTTGTCAGAATTCTGGCACATTATGAGTTATTTATTACACTACTGTGTTAACAGTTTAAAAACCCTGATCCCTGGTACGGCCCTCGAAAACAGCTATTTGTGTCGACTTCTCCTGCATGTACATTTTTATTTTACTGTAACATGTCATTTTTGCATGTAAATAAATTGTTACCGGAAAGGTGTAATTTTGTTGTCAGCTGGATAGTAAAATTGAGGATGGACACGTTTGTTCGTTGAATTTTTTTTCCCCCCCCCCCCCCCCCCCCCCTTAAAAAATCTGTCACCATTTTATTAAAAAAAAAAAATTATCCATTCTCTTAACGTCTCAAAACCAAAATTATGGCAGACCAGCCAAGGTATACGAATAAGGAAATGTAAGTGAATACTCTGTAAAACCTTGATCTAATTTTATTCTTCTTTCTCATCACCCAACTTAACTTTGTTTTGTTAATTAAAGTGCAGGCAAAATTACACACAACCCTGATAAACAATTTACATGGATATATTTATTTTTTGCATTTCAAAACTTTGACATGATGGAAAACTCTATGAAAATGAATTTGATACAAACAAAATATTTTTTTACCAAAACATATTCATTATCATGATATGAAATGGTTTTGATGTCCAGGATTAAAGAATAAACTTAATGGTTTGTCGTATTTTATCCAATAGACTGAAAAGATTTTTACAGTAAAGAAAGCAGAATTGTCCAATGTTTCTTAGCATTAAATTTAAAGTAACAGACATGCATGGGATTTTATTTGGTAACGAATAAAATATATGTGTAAATATGCGTTAATACACACTAGGCGAATTTTATCTTAAGTATTTTCATATAGTTTAAGTTCATGCATTTTTTTTTTAAAAACATGAAATGAACCTTCTTTCTATTTTTAGAATGACTCAAAGTCGGAGAAGAATAGCTACCTTAAGGTCCAGACGGACCCAGAAAACAGCGTCAGCATCTTCTTCTCTCTCCCCGAGAAAGTCGGGGCCTTGGCCCAAATTCTGAAAATCTTTGAGGTACACGTCCACTGAAATGGTAAACGGTTGAATGAGTTTGGATGTGTGGGTGGATTTCTATGGTATATGTTTCTTCAAGAAGCAATGAAAGAAAGAATTGAGTTACTGAAGGACAGAGAACGAATATAATAGCAATGAAAGAAAGAATTGAGTTACTGAAGGACAGAGAACGAATATAATAGCAATGAAAGAAAGAATTGAGTTACTGAAGGACAGAGAACGAATATAATTCCGTTTTTAATGTCGTTATTTATATACTTGCCTGTCCGTCTTATAACGAATGACTCTGGACTACGACCTTGCCATCTGTCATGGGAATGTATCTTAGTCAATATTTGGGCGATGTAAAACAAAATTTTGTATGCATGAATGCTAACCTGCAAATATTAATTTAAATGAAATAAATATCAGTGTATGAACTTGTAAAACAAAATAAATCCAGAAAAAGCAGACATCTGAATGGCAAAACTGAATCAATGATTGGCAATATGTTATGTTTTTAATTTAATGGTGTGTACATTTTATAGAATTACAATTTTATCGCGTCCGTCAAGGAATGCTTTGATCATCTTTTGTTGCAGAATATCGAGGGGCATATTTCGTCACATTCACAGGAACCTCTAGTAAAAAGGTGGAAAAAATGTTAACGGCAATTTTTATTCCCTCTAAAATCGTCGCAATTAACTATTCGTTCCATTGCTGCAGATGTGTAAGGCAACTAATCACATTTTATGCATGTTTCCTCATAGGAACGCCAAGTCAACCTACATCATATTGAATCCCGACCTTCCAAGCAGAGCAACACGGAGTTCGAGTTCTTCGTGAGTTGTGATAACAAGACTGGTGGCCTGAAAGAAGCACTGGATCAAGTGAAGGGAATCGCCAAGACATTCCGAGTGTTGTCAAGAAAAGCCGGGGAATACCCTTCTGATGACACCGGTAGGCGGCGCAATGTGTTGATTCAATTAAAATCTGCATAGCAGGTTCTTTACTGAAAATCTTTAAATTATTTTAAAAAAATCACAAAAAGAAAAGAAAAATGTATATCAAAATGCAGTTTTGCACACGGAATATTTATAAATATACATTAAAGACAATGTATGTAGAGGCACCTTGTACATAGAAATAAATCAACTTGTGAATGGGGATAGCTCTAAAACCAAACTTGTGACAAGAATTATTACCCGAGAGCTTGCCCGAGGACATTACGCAGGCGCGGATCCAGAAATTTTTTCAAGGGGGGGGGGGCGGTAACCCCAGTCAAACAAAAAATTCCAACCCAAAATTTCTCTGACAAGAATAAAAAGTTCCTAACGTGAAAAGACTATTTCGTAGGGGAGGGGGGTTAGTGGATGACTTTCAAAGCTTTATATTAATACTTATGAATTTTCATACCAATATCACATAGATCCGTATTTTCGAAGAGGGGTCAACGTTTTCTATGGGGGGGGGGGTTGTTTCCAAGGTCACTTTGACATGGGGATGATAAAAACAATATTTCACGAGGCTCTTTAGAAAAAAAAAAATAGCAGTTCAATTCGTCATATTTTAAAAAGAGAGAAAAGTACACAGAGGTATTATATCAATAGTTAAGTTTAGGAACTCAAATCCATTTGCTTCTCATGGGCCAAAGAGAATAAAAGAGCAAGTTAGTTTTTGAAATTTGATATGTATATGTACATGCTGTGCTTTCAGCTTAGATCCAATTCTCCTTTTTCGATTGATATTGTTTTTAAACCACTGTATAATACAATGGAAAAGAGCATGCCTTGGTTGTACCACCTCTATGCACTTTTAAAGTTAAAAAGTCTTAGTGGGGTAGAATTTGTATCCACAAAAAGTATGGCAATGTTTACTTATTTTATTGTTCAACTATCGTTAATCATACGTCTGAAATTAGAGTACTGTCACATTTCACTGTAACTAACAATGGAAAATATCAATGTCTGTGAAATTCGATAAAAATTTACAGAATAATGATTTTATTGTTTGCCAATCGCTCGGTAAAATCAATCTGATCATTACGAACCATTTCATTTAAAAAGGCATTTTATATCTTACCCAGTATATGATAATTTTAGCACCTGAAATTTTTATTTAAAAAATTATAAAGTTTTCCTATAGCAAATAATTTTGCAATGCAAAATTGTGAATAGTTCTTTAGTTTAATGCATTTCTATGCCTCGATCATAAAAGATAATTTCTTTTAATGAATATCTCGCCGGATTGATTGATTTTTTTGTGTACTTTTTTCAACTTTTAATATTATTGTTCAAAAACTTCAACATTTTTTATACTTTGTTTATTTTTAAACAGAAAGGGAAAATACAGGTAATATTTTTATAGTGTGATTCGGGATTAATAATTCTCTCTCAGAGCTAACAATATCACCATATTTTAGATCTCTTATCAATTATAGTAGTCACATACAAACACCCCATATACATATATTGCATACTAGTATTGAAAGGAATAGAAAAAATCTGAAAATATGTTACCTTCACATATAGCTAAATATTCTTTACATCCCTGAAATGCATTATACGTTGTCATCATTAACATGATTGTATTTTTTTTTAATTCTTAAGTTTAATTGATTAAGTAGTTTTTGGTTTACGGATGACATTAAGTTCTGACTGGAATGAAAATTACCTGTTGTACACTGTATAGTTTCAAATACTGAATACAGGGAAATTTTGCCCATTTGCCATACCCTCATTTGGGTGAATTTAAACTGGGCGAATTCAAAGAATAGAGTATAATTTCTTAAACAAAACTATGACTGGGCGAATTTAAAACGCTGCAAATTTGTTTGCAAGTGTGTAAGGGCGAAAATAACACTGTATACAGTAATGGCCACTCTTTACGCTATTGCTCCGAGTATTTTCGAAAATTCAAAAATTCCCATAAGTAGTCGTTTCACTTTAACCCCAAAATTATTGTAGCAAAATTTTAAAAATATTACAACTCTCTACACACATAATATATTATAGACAACAGTGACTGACATACAATAAGGAAAAAATGTCGATATATTGAAACGATTTAATACAATTTTGAAACATTTTTTTGGGGGGGGGGGGGAGGGGGGTATTATTCAGATTTTTTTCTCCGTGTCACAATTAATGCATCTTTATTTTTTTTATTAATTCCTTCACACGGCAAAAAATATATAAATAAATAATAATTAAAATAATAAAAAAATAATTATATTAATAAATTGTATAAATATTAATTTATTAATTATTAATTTGATAAATATTTATTTTGCCTTTGAATCATTGCTCTCATTCAACGGTATTTTATAGCATTCCGTTTCTGTCAATGGAAAACGTACATGTAATTAAAGCAAAGCGTCATCCTTAGATTATTGAAAAAAAAAATTGTTACTAACTTTTAAAGAATAAAGATACAACCTATTTGTTGTGTTTAAAAAAGTGAGACCTTTACATTAAACATTGATATTAAATCTTCCCCACATTGTATATAATAATTATGACGAAATGCATATATGTATAACGTCTTTGTCTACAATTTTATCTCTTTCATTAACCTCTTAGGGCTCTTGATTGGGAAAACATAGTATCTATTGTTAATTTCATTCATATTCATATATATTATAAAAAAAATCTATAATTTAGACAACTTGCTTGAACCAACATTCCAAACATTTTAGAAAATGTTGATTACCTTTGTATACATGGTGTGTTTTTCGTGTTTTCAGTATTATCTTTTTGTAAACTCTTCATTTTTTAATTTATATCTTTGATTGCAAATCATTATAACATTATTAAAACAGTTTTTAAAGAAATAAAATATGATCTATGATTGACAAATAACAAAGCTGAAATGTAATTAAGTTTCAGAGTTTTCAGATTTTTTGATCATATTACTTTATCGTAAATGATATTCATAATGTTTTAGTAATGTCAATGTTAAATGTTCATTTGAACTATAGATCCCACCAAACAAGGTAATTCTGATAAACTTAGTTCAACATAGGTTGGAACAAATGATTTCATAGTATGTTTTATTTTTTATATACATGTATTCATCACATATAGCGAGACTTTCTTATTTTACATCTTCACTCTTCATATTACACAATTGGGAACACAGCTTTTCCTATATAAAGCTGATATGTGTACTGCTCAAGGTGTAGATGGAACACAAAGACACCCATCATTCTGTCATACTTTGATACAGTGTTTATATTTGTTCACAGTGGGCACTTTTATTGAATTAATGCGAGGCCAATGGTAAAAGGAAATATTGCAAAAGATAATTACATGTACGAGGGTTGATCCAAAAGTTCGTGGAATTTCTTCGTAAAATTTTATAGTGATTAGATGAAAGCAAACAACAGGCATGTTCATAATATAGAGTCATAATGCAACAATATTGGAAAATTTCATCATTTTCCAATTACCAATAAGGTCACACGAGCTTTCTGAAAATGGAATGTTGTGAAACCCGGGGGAGACTTCGACGTAACGTAAAGTTGTATATGCCACGTCGCGTTATAGAAGCATCAAGCCCTAATGTCCAATTTGACTACGTATTTCTACAAAATACCGCCCTTTTCTCCATTTTCTTTTTCTCAAGAAAAGCATAATTATCCTCTTGCACCAACTTATCTTCATTTTTCACTCATATTTCAAAATACTACCCATCTTTCCATATGATGTTCCAATTTCAGTAACAATGTCAAGGACAGCACGGCAACCGGCAACGTCCATTAACGCTTTAAATTTGTCTAGGGGGATACGCACTTAAAACAGAGCCCCCCAAAAGCGGACCACGCCTTTAATCAACGTCCATGGAAGTTCTATTTTTCTAAATTTCTTATGCCACTAGGAAACCAGTAGCTAAATGCATTTTTCCCAAGCCTATGTCAATAATATACGCGTTTAAGATAGAGTGATCCCGAGATTTTTACAAAACGTATGACTTGACCGAAATTTGACGTAGTCTAATAACTTAAAGATGAACAATAAATCATCAACTTATAAACTAAATGTCCAGTAAATTCAGTAAAACTCTCACACAAAGGTTTATAAAAGATCAAGCAATCGTAATAATGACATAATTTTGGATTTATATACCACATAAGGCTGTTTAATTCTCATTTCACGTATTAAGAATTTAAACAATAATAAACGCGTTGATGTCTCCCCCGCATTTCCAAACAACCGTTTCTATGGCAATTGCCATAGAGTTACTATCAAAGATATTTTAAATGTTTTTCAATTTAAAATATTCATCAAGTGTCTATAATTTCATTTGTAATTTTCAACCAATTCCACTTAAAAATGAATAAATTATGAAGAAATTCCACGAACTTTTGGATCAACCCTCGTATGCACACAATTTAAAACGAGCTGAATAAGTTAAATATATGTTAACTAGAATGGCAAGCAATGTGTCCATATATGTTTAAAGATGTTGAACATTTAACAAATTCACGAGTTGAACATATATAGAAATATGCAAGAAATGTAAGTTAAGTTTATGTTAAATTATAAAGCAAACTGTATTAGTTGAGAATTAAATTCTTTATCGCCGAAATATGGCTGAAATATTGCCGACTTGGCATTAAAGAATGATAATCAATCAATCAATCCTATTTAAGCTTAAAGTATAACCATCTGACTGCAATATTTATAATTTATTCCTATCATGTAAACCAGAGAATTAAAAAAAAGATCTTCTGAAAATATTCATAAAAAACATGTTCAATCATTTACATCAACAGTTCTGTAACAAATGTACTTTTCGTATTAGAAGCATATATTGAACATATATTTGTTGCTCGTTCAAAGTATTTCAAATAATTTAAACAGTCATACTAATTAATTTTTCCAGTATACAGCACAGCGTTTTGATTAGCGAGTGATTATGATATAAATGGTGAAAGGGGCATAATGTTATATTTTTCAATTAAAAGTGTAGAATTTCAATTTAAAATAAATACGTTAAACACCAGATAAAAAAAACTTTTCAGATTTTGTTTAAAAATTCTTTATAACATATAGTTGATGTGACTCTTATTGTTTCCATGTGGTACTTAACTTTCTGAATACCGGAGTTTATTCCCGTTTACATGTACACATGTATGAAATAAATGCTAAATAAATACAAATATTTACAAAAAGATAATATTTGATATTCGATATAAAAGAACCTCTCTATTTGTTGTAATACGTCAATGTTTGGGCTTTTTTAAAAATTTGTATAAATGAAATTCATTCTTGCAATAATTCAGCGGTCATTTTAATTTCGTTCTGTACATGATAAAATATTTTCATCGTTTGTAAAAGGGTAAGTATATATTAAGCTTACATTATCATCATAGTGCCATTTTACATGATGTTTTAAAAATGTACATCTTATACTCAAAGTATTCAAAAGGCTCGAAATGAAATCATAATATATTATAGAGTAAAATAAAAATCACAAAAATTACGCTAGAAAGTAAATATACTCACAGTGTTTTATTAAATTAATGTTCTATTGGTGGAAAGATTTTTTAAAAAAAACCTACTTGAATATTTGATTCTTTCTCTATAGCTCCATGGTTTCCGAAGAAAATTTGTGAACTGGACAGATTTGCGAACCAAATCTTGAGTTATGGATCTGAGTTGGACGCCGACCATCCTGTAAGCACATTCTGGTACACAGGGTATCAAAACTGCTCATGTACACTCGTATATATTCTGCAATATTCAACAATATTAACAAATTGACTACGAAGCAAGATTAAGTATGTAGAGTCAGTATTGTGTCCTCTACCAAATTTGGAATTTTTTAAAATATAAATTTACAATTGACAATTGTCTGATAAATACGGTTTTTTTAAAGAAACTGTAATTTTTTAGGTGGTTTCGAAACTTTGATTCAAAAACACATCAATTCATAGCATATTACATGGGTGTTTTAAAATTTTCGATCCTTATTGAATTTCACCTGAAGTATTACAAATGTACAAACTGGTACAAAATACTATTAAAGTCACAAACGTAAATTTTTAAATCTTTAGTTTAAATATTTTCAAAAGAAACCAGTTTATTCCGAATAAAGTGACGTGGAACAATTTCAATTGTTTTACCTGTATATCGATTGATTTTGAAATCTTGGAAATGAATACGATGAAGAATTAATAGTTACTGTTCCAAAACTGAGATGAAGAAAGACTTAGTCAAGATTTATTTATTCATTACACACTGTAAATTGTTGATTCTCTTTCATAGAAGGATTGAAAAGTTTGAATTGGTGGAATTTACAGTAGTTGAAAATATATAATTGCATCAGTATGAGCTTTCTGTATTTTTATACAGGGATTTACAGACCCCGTCTACAGAGCTCGCAGAAAGGAGCTGGCAGACATCGCCTTCCATTACAAACAGTGGGTACTCCAGTCTCTTACATTTATCTTTAATGTATTGAAACGTGCAGAAATTTGAAACATTGTAAACTAGATCTCTTCATTTTTATAAATTTTATTCCATTTTTAGTGGGCAAGAAATCCCAAGAGTAAAATATACAGAAGAGGAAATCAACACATGGTTAGTGGACTTTCTGGTTAAAAACAATTCAACAGGTATTTTTAACATACAAAGATAGTTGTTCAATAAGGTAGTTGGCTGATCATTTCAGGAGGACTATCTACAATGAACTGACAAAGCTTTACTCGACACACGCTTGTAAACAGTTCAATCATGTCTTCCCACTGCTCCAAGATAACTGTGGATATAATGCTAACAATATTCCACAACTAGAAGACGTCTCCAGGTTTTTACAAGGTATAGTTATTTTACATTTACAAGTCAAAAAGGAAACATACAATTAAACCAGGGGAAGACAATCATCTTAGTCATATTTTCCATGCATTCTTAGATTTCGCAAATTGAAATATTTTATATTATTTAATTTGAACTACCACATATCTATGAAGGATATGGAGATAACGAACAGTATTCAATCTCAAAGTCCATAAAACAATACATAATAAGAGCAGAGCAAACACGGACCCCCGAAACATCAGAGTGCCATGGAGGAGTGAGCATCCCCTGCCGACCGGTCACACCCGCCGTGTGCTGCTTGTCATGATCAGGAAATAATGGGGAAAATCCGTCGTCTGTTCAGTGTATAAATGGACTAACAATTGGTATGGAAAACGCCAGTGAGCATTTGACTCAATGATAAACTGTATTTGCTGACAAGGTCATTGTATCGACCATAGAACTTACGAAATGATGACTTTAAACGAGACTGCTGATATTCTTGTTTCATCAACTTGCTTGTAAATAATTTACCTCGTTTTAGAAATTGTTCATACGTAGAGTATGCTCTTACGTATCGAATCAACTGAGATATATATATACTCCGTATGCAGGTGATGAAGGTATATTGCTGCATATGTAAGGGAAGTTGACGATAGAAAAGTTAAAGTCATCACGTTTATCATATAGCTTGGTTGTTAGATTACCATTAGTGTCTTTTTCAAGTAAAATATCCAAGTGTGAAACAGAAGTGTCGGACTCTGTGGTATCTTTTATCTCAAGCTCACCAGGATATATCGTATCGACGTAGGAATGGAAATTACCATTATTAATTGACAATACGTCGTCGATATATCTAAATGTCGAGTTGAAGGCCACATCACGTGTTTTCTTCTTTTCACGCATAAGATTTTGCACAAATTCTGCTTCATATGAATATAAAAATAAGTCTGCTAATAATGGGGCGCAATTTGTACCCATGGGGATTCCAATAGACTGTTGGAATACCATACCTGGTCTTCAAAAACCACATAAATGTTGTCAATCAGAAACTCAAGCATCTTCTTGATGTCAACTTCAGAGTACTTATGTGTGCAATCAGAATCTGTTTTAACAAAATAATTTTGCAAATGACCAATGATGAGGTAAGTAAATTTACGAGATCCATTTTTATTGAAGAAGCAGCTGTCAATGATATCAAAAAGCCTGGATTTTACTTTGTCGTGTGGAATTGTTGTGTATAAAGTTGAAAAGTCGTAAGTTTTTAAGCTGTTGATTTTTGTAAAGTCTTGTGATTTCAAAGTGTCCAAAAGTTCTTTAGAATTTTTTAGTATCCACATCTGATTCACACCACTTCTTGAATATATAGTTGCACAGTACCCTTGAAGTTTTTCCTTCACTACTGTCAACATCTTAGTGAGGAGTAACGAAAGAGGCTTGGTTGAACATTTACTGGAACCTGCAATGTATCTTTGTTTGTAAGGATTCTTATGAAGTTTTGGAATATATATATATATATATATATATATATATATATATATATATATATATATATATATATATATATATATATATATGGAATATTAAAAGTATTCAAACCAGACAGGTGATTTTGAAGAATTTCTTCCTTAGAAAGGGAAGTATTAGTAGGATTACCACTTGCAGAATTAAATCCAAGTTCTTCTAGAATGCAATTTATATAATGAGCCTTACAAACGAAGACAATGTTATTACCTGCTTTGTCGGCAGGAACCAGTACGTACTGATCGTGTAATCTATCTAACTCCTTTTTCACTTCTGGTTCATTGAACACAGAAGGATATATGGTTTTCATATTGCCCCTCAGTTTTTTAATACGGGACTTTAACATGGATCTGATACATTTAATCCATTCTGACAAGGTGTCAACATCTTCTTTGTCATAACTTGCCCATCGTCTGGCGTAATTTTCCCTAGAATCCATAATATTTATGAAATTCCGACACCAGTTGAACGATCGGGGCTTCCTATATTTAGGACCTTTTAAAATAAGTGATCTAAGGTCCTCATTACGAACTATATTTACGTCACCTGTAATAAAGTGTCCAGCAGGACTATAGTTATAGGGCGAAGAAGAACATGAACACGAAGGAGGATTATGTTTCAGATAGTCGGTATTCAGGCCATGTAAAGTGTTTTTGTAATTGAAAAGTTCGGAAGTAATGGTCGATGTATATTTGTAGGAAATACAATGTGTAGTCTTTAAGTTGAAATAGGGTGGAATACAAGACTGGACCCTTTTGTGATTAAGAATATTACTTATATTAACCGCGTCAATTCCTTTATTGGGATATTGAAGTTTAAGGAAAAGACGGATTATTTTAGCTGCATTTTCTTCCGTGAAGCGTGCGGGTTTAAAGAGCCTATGATATGCAATATCCATAATCAAAGATCCGAGTCTATATTCAGGTGACGAGGAATCTAAAATTGGATGCCTTTTCAAGAAGACTATTTAAAAGTTTCAAAGGGACAAAGTCAAGTTTTGTTCGAATATGATGTAGACCCAACTGTTAATTTACATAAGGTAGTAATGAATCAAAAGAGACGTCGTGTATTGCAGGTTTATTGTACGAACGATGCCAATGACTACGCTTACGTCTCTGAGTATGGTTAAAAAGTCTAATCATATTTACATTATTACACTGCGGACTGAAAGATTTCCAACACTATCGACATTGTCATTACATCCATTGGGAAAGACTGTCCCTAGTTTTCTAGTCCAAAATTCTTCTCGTTGTCTACGGAAAGGTGTACTCAGCGACGGACTATTTGTGTGGTGATAAAATCTTTTAGAGAATTCTAACTTTCATTGATAAAATAGAATGATCCGGTGAATTAAAATGTTTGTCTAAAAGCTGCTGACCACGATGATTTATTTGAAATCGATGACCTGATATTCTTTTGTTAAGCGATCCTTTGGTTTCACCGACATATACAAGTCCACACAAATTATATTCTATTCCATAGACAACATTAGAAGATTTGCAGTTCAGATTTTCCCAAGTTTTGGTATAAAAGCTCTGTCCAGTAAGATTACTGGTGAAAGAAGTGTCAGTTATCAAAATATCACAGGTTTTACAGTTTCGCACAGAACATTTTGAAACAGAAGACATGGGATCGGAAAAGGAATTATCCAATATATCTGTAATAGAAACCTTACATTCTTTCAATTTGGTGTATGATGTATTGGTTTTATACCAAAACTGGGAATCTGAAGACTGTACATAATTATGACATATGTTTAATATCCCTGAGGATTATCCGAGGGACACCAAATCAACTCCTTGAGTCTGTGTCCCTTATAGACCCAAAGGAGTGACGCCTTTTTATACTGGACGACGCGCCTGCCAGTATCATTTCGTTATTCTGTGTACTCATGAATGAATATATTGGATTCCGAATCTTCAAAAGAATCCTTACAATCAAAAATACATTGCGGGTTCCAGTAAATTTTCAACCAAGCCTCTTTCTTTACTCCTCACTAAAATAGTAACAGTAGTGAAGAAGAAACTTCAAGAGTACTGTACAACAATATATTCAAGAAGTGAATCAGATGTGGATAGTCAGAAATGCCAAGGAACTTTTGGACAACTAAAAATCACGAGATTTAACCACAATTAACAGCTTACAAACTTACGACTTTTCAACTTTATACACAACCATTCCCCATGATAAAGTAAAGTCCAGGGTTTTAGATATCATTGACAGCTGCTTTATCAATAAAAATGGAACTCGAAAATTTACTTAATTGGTCATTGGTCATTTGCAAAATTATTTTGTTAAAACGCATTCTGATTGCACACACAAGTACTCTGAAGTTGACGTCATAAAGATGGTTGAGTTTCTGATTGACAGTATCTATGTGGTTTTTGGAGACAAGGTATTCCAACAGTCTATTGGAATCCCCATGGGTACTAATTGCGCTCATTTAGTAGCAGACCTATTTTTGTGTTCATTTGAAGCAGAATTTGTGCAAAATCTTATGCGTGAAAAGAAGAAAACACTTGCTGTTGTCTTCAACTCGACATTTAGACATATCGACGACGTACTGGCAATTAATAATGGTAATTTCCATTCCTATGTCGATACGATATATCCTGGTGAGCTTGAGATAAAAGATACCACAGAGTCTGACACATCTGTTTCATACTTGGATATTGTATTTGAAAAAGACGTTTTAATGGTAATCTAACAGCCAAGCTATATGATAAACGTGATGACTTTAACTTTCCTATCGTCAACTTCCCTTACTTATGCAGCAATATATCTTCATCACTTGCATATGGAGTTTATATATCTCAGCTGATTCGATACGACAGAACATCCTCTACATGAACGAGGCAAATTATTGACAAAAAAGTTGATGAAACAAGAATATCAGCAATCTCGTTTAAAGTCATCATTTTGTAAGTTCTATGGTCGATACAATGACTTTGTTAGCAAACACAAATTATCATTGAGTCAAATGCTGACTGACGTTTTTCATATTGATTGTTAGTCCATTATTTATACACCGAATTTTCCTGTTTTTTCCTGATGATGACAAGGAGAACACGGCGTGTGTGACCGGTTGGCAAAGGATGCTCACTCCTTCATGGCACCTGATTCCACCTCTGATGTTTTGGAGGTCCGTGTTTGCTCCGCTCCTGTTTTGTATTGTTTTATGGACTTTTGATCTTAAACTGTTTATTATCTTCATTATGTTCATTATACATTTCAAAGAGGTAACTTATTTATTGTAAAAGATTAAACACCACCTTAAGGATGCATATATCCAGAATCAATTGAATATTCTCAAGATACTTTATCATCCACTGTTATGCCATTTACACTTTATGACTTTATTCCTTGTGTTCTTGGAATTGTAATACTTTCAAACCTTTAAGGTGACCGAACAGGATAAGTTCATTCCTTCAGGAAGATAACGCATTTAATTCACATATGGAAACATCCCTAATATTTTATAATTGTCTAAAAATTATTATAGATTTTGATTTTCTTTGTAGATTGCACTGGATTCAGACTGAGACCTGTTGCTGGATTGTTATCATCACGTGACTTCCTGTCCGGTCTCGCTTTTCGTGTTTTTCATTCCACACAGTACATACGTCACAGTTCCAGACCAATGTACACACCAGAACCGTAAGTTTTTCTCATATCTTATTTTGAAATCAAAGTATCGGTGAATAATACTACATGTATTTTTTGAAAGTTGTTATAGAACAAGTGTGCTAATATTATAGCAAAAGCCCTCACAAGACCTTTTTTCAAAATTTGTTTTCCCTTTTTTCAAAAAAAGTATTTCATATATTGTAGGGATGTTTGTCATGAATTGCTGGGCCACGTCCCTCTCTTTGCCGATCCAGCATTTGCTCAATTTTCTCAAGAGATTGGATTAGCTAGCCTTGGAGCCCCGGATGACTATGTCAAAAAATTGGCAACGGTTAGAAATACACTAATTAATAAAATAAGTAAACATGTATATTTATGTGGAAAACAAATACTGTAAACCAATTTTTATTCGCGTGCGAGAAATTTTCGCGAAGTTCACGAGAGCCTCGTCATTGCGAATATTTCTCGCCGCGAACCGGTCCTTAAAGTGTATGTTTCTTTTAACAATAGATCAAAAAGGGTTTATCGCGAAAATTAATCGTCGCGAACTAGTTTTCCCTGGTAAATCGCGAAATAAAGTCGTCGCAAATAAAAGTTGGACTACAGTATATCAATGAAATGGTATATGCTCTTATTTATGTGTAAAGCAAATATTTCGATGAATTGGTGTATGTTTAGCAAAGAATTTGAAAGAGAAATCTTCACTTGATAAAATAATAGTTGTAAGTGATAGGCTATTAAGGACAGATGACACAAACAAAAAAATGATGTCTGGATTGGTATATATTTTTGGGCTTATGTCTATGGTAAATGATTTAAAAAATAATTTCCTAAAATTTTCAAGAATTGTAAACCTTTTATGATGTTCAAAATTGTACTTTTCCCCAACCATCCTTCATAATACGAGGGTTGTCCGTAAAGTTCGTGGACAAGCTAAGAATTAAATAAAAGTTGCGTCATTGATATTTATTATTAGCATATTTCTAATCCTTTACTGATTGTGAATTGAAAAATGTAAAATCTTATTCAATTTCAAATGTTTATTTTCAATTATGGCTTCATAATTAGACTTGGAATGGAGACCCAGAGCACCGCAGAATTTTAATTAAAAAAAATATTGATCACTTTAAAAATTTAATTTTATATTTAAAGGTTGACAGAAGCTATCACGTCAAACATGCAAAATTTGAACGTTCAAAGTTGTAAAATGGCTGAGCAATCAGAGTTAGAACTGATTAAGACGGATCGGAATTGTTCAAAAAAGGGACGTTTTTGCAGTGATGAAATTCTGCATAGACATCGGATAAAGACCTACAGATACCAATACATTTCGTAAACATTCGGGAAAACATAGTAAAAGAAGCCGTATATTAGTATTTAAGTGGCATATAATATTTTCGGACGGAAGGAACAGTTTATAGGATGACATGCATGAAGGAAAACCCCCATTCCGAGATTGCAGTGCTGTAAAAAATGACTTTCATAACGTGACTTTACCGTATTTCCGTAAATAAAATCGTTTTACGTGGACAAAGGTTGGATGATTACAGGATATAAGACAGGCATTATTAAATATCATTTTACGTGTGAAACCTGAACATTTTGTGCACATATTTATGAATGGTAAAAGCGACATCAGAAATTAAATGTACATGTATAGAGTTAAACGGTGACAATGTTGAAAAAAGTTACATGTAAGTTGTTGAAAACTTGCATGTTAATAAAATAAAACATGAATTTAATGAAAATAATAGTTTCGTATATTTTATTAATATTTGTTAGTAATTAGCAATGTTGTCTACGAACTTTACGGACAACCCTCGTATATATAATTTTTTATCACTTAAAATCCCATTTTTGTGAAACATTGATTAAAAAATCAAAAACTATACGGTTAAACATGTTCGTTTTAATTATATAAAAATTATTTGTTATTTCAATTTGTTTTGACAAAAATTTGTATTGTCTGTCCTTAATGTTTTGAACATATTTTATTGACAATATGTCAAAGGGATCGGACACAAGTTCTAACAACTTAGGTAGTCCTCTCCCATATATAAAATCTGCGTAGCCATACAACATACTTTACAAAATTTTACAGTAATATATACATATACATAGAAGAACAAAGACAATTGTTTTCTGAATGAGGAAGTAATATCAATTACCGGGTATTTATAATGGTAATAATAAATACAGTGTTGATATTATAAAAATAAAATAATTTCAATAGAGATAATACAATTTATATAGTGTTAATTAAAACGACCTGATTCCTGAATAAATTTTTGAACAATACCGAAAATTTTTTCATTTTCCTGCAAAGATAAGGAATCATCTCCCCATAGCAATTTGTGCACATTAATCATTTTTACATTATAAGTTAAAAGTAGTGCATTCATCATTAGGCGTCTAGGTTCAAAATATTTTCTACAAACAAAGAAAAAATGATGACTATCCTCTTTCATACCACAAGAACAATTTGGATGACTTATGATATTACATCTATACAGATCGTTATTTAAAATACAATTGTGTCTTAATTTTGTATGTAAAATGTTCAGATACCTTTTGCCATATGAAAAATACTTGGGAGGCTTATCATTATTATTACTCATTTTTCTTTTAAAAATTCCTATTGAGGTTATTTCCCTTGTTTCGTTGCTTAGTGAATTCCATTTGCGAACAGTATCGGGGACAAATGATTTGTTGTATAATTCAAGCCTGCATTTAGGCAAAGAATAATCAAATGAATTTCGAGTATTGTAATTTGAAACAGTATTTCTAACCATTGGTATAATGTTTTTTAAGTAATCGGGAGCTAGGTTATTGTGGATTTTAAACATTGTTAAAAGTTTGGCTTTGTCTCTTCTTATTACAAGAGGTTCCCAACCTGTTTCAATATACAACGAATTTCTTGATGCTAATACTGAAAGACCAGTCACTATTCTAGCGGCTGTCAGTTGAAGCTTTTCAAGTTTATCAATATCTGCCAGCGAACAGCCTGACCAAACTTCAGATGCATACTCAAGTTGTGGTCGAATAAAACAAGTGTAAAGTTTGGATAACGTATCTCTAGACACTGAAAATTTAAGTTTCTTGAGAAGTCCTAGTTTTTTGTAGCCTTTACTGACAATACTATCAATATAATCTGACCAACCCATTTTAGTTGAAAAAATAACACCAAGATGTTTATGTTGAGATACATATTCTAACTGGCAGTCTTCAAAAAATAATTCAGGTAACTGGTTTGTATTTTTTAAGCTGAAGAATAATACCTTTGTTTTACTCGGATTGAATTTCATTAACCATTTTTTGGACCACTCATCCAGAATTTTTAAGTCATGATTTAAATGATGTTCAATGAGACGAACGTCACTCGAGCTTTTTTGTAAAGAATTATCGTCTGCAAATAATCTGCAAACAGTTATCATGTTTTCAGCTACATCATTCACATATATCAAAAATAAAAGAGGGCCAAGGACGGAGCCCTGAGGTACCCCAGCATGCACATTTTTCACAGAAGAAAATAAATTTTTATACATAACTTTCTGTTTTCTATTGTACAAGTAACTTTCCAACCATTCTAACATATTACCGGAGATACCATACATTTTTAATTTATGAATCAAACCCCTGTGCCAAACCCTATCAAAAGCTTTTGATAAATCACAAAAAACCATACAACAATATTGCCCTTCATCAATACTTTTTACAATAGTATGATAAGTTTCTAAGAGTTGGTACACAGTTGAGTGACCAGGCAGAAAACCTGCCTGATATTTGTAGAACAAATTATTTGCGTGAAAAAAATTATATACATGTTTGAATACGACTCTCTCAAATATTTTACTTACACAACTCAAAAGAGATACAGGTCTGTAATTTGAAGTGACTGATGGGTCATCTTTTTTAAATAATGGCAGGACATGTGCTAGTTTCCAACTTTCAGGATAAACTTTGAGTCTAAGAGATTTATTAAATAACAGACAAAGTGGCTTAGCTATGGATTCTTTACAAGATTTTAACATTTTGTGGCTGATACAATCAGGGCCCACAGCTTTATTTACGGGCAGGATAGAAATAATATCAATAATCTCACTTTCTTGGATATTTACGTCACAGAATTTTTCTACATTTTTTGACTCAAAATTAGGTAGCTCATATTCCTCATCTTTTATATCAGAGATTGTTGTAAAAAAGTCATTTAGTAATTCAATTTTCTCTTTATCGGAAAATGCGTATATAGGTTCACCATTCTCATTCACCTGTTTAATAGGGGGTATTTCAGATGAAGTTTTAGTGTGAAAGACATCTTTTAGTAATTTCCAGTACAGTTTGTTATTATTTTTGTTTGCGTCGTTTAAATGAGAATCAATGTTGTCATAGTAGTTTGCTCTGGCATATTTTTTCATATTATTAACTTTATTTCTAGCTTTCCGAAATTCTTTTTTATCTGATTCTTTCTTGGTTTTCTGTGCTTTATTTCTTAATCTATTCCTAAGTCGTATATTTGTTCTTAGTAATGAATCCATCCATGGTTTGTCGTTTGGTCTTATTGTAACAGTTTTTTCGGGTATACATTTGTGTATAATTAGCATAAATTGTTGTGTAAAGTTTGTTGTTGCGGTTTCAATATCAGTTGATTTTGAAATAATGTTTTCCCAATCAAAATTGTTTATTAGATTATTAAGTTCTTCTATATTTGCTTCTTTATAGCTCCATACCTTACGTTTGTATGAAGAATTGTTACAGTAATTTTGTTTAACATATATGTACGTAGCTTTGTGGTCACTGATATTTGTGTCAACCAATAATGTACCTGAGTCAAATATGAATTTTTCACGACTAATAAGAATAGGGTCTATAAGAGTTTTTGTAAATTGTGTTACTCTCGTAGGTTCGTTTATTACGTTTGAAAGCCCAGTCATATTCATGATATTATAAATTTCATGATTTTGATTTATTTGAAGAAAATCTACATTTAGATCCCCAAGTATTATAAAGTTGTTTGACATATCACTTATTCTTTCAATGGACCATGAAAAATTTTCCCAAAAATCATTGCTCGAGTTTGGTGGACGATAAACACAACAAATAAATAAGTTATTGTTTGGTTGTTCGATTTCGATCCAAATACTCTCTATGTTTCGTGGTTCTAGATCTTCCCGTCGAGTTACTTTTAGAGAGTTAGAGACATATATCATGATTCCCCCTCCATATGAATTCCTATCCTTTCTAAAAATATTTCCAAATCCCTCTATATGAAGATCATCATTGGTTAAATTTGAATTTAAATGGGTTTCTGTAAAGCATATTATATCAAAGTCCTGTATTAAGTAAATCAACGAGTCTATTTTATTTCTGATACTTCTTACATTCAAATGTATAATATCAAGGGAATTCTCAAAAGATGGACCAGGATTAATCTCAATATCCCCAGATAAGAGTATTTTCAAAAATATGAAAAGCTGTGAAAAATAATTTATGATAATAAGATATGAACCCATTTTTTTCAGATGAATTCGAAATAATGTATTCAGTTTGTATAGAAAATAAAATAAATCCGCAATGTTGAAAATCTTGAATGTAGACCTTCTCAGTATTCCTCTACATTTCATATAGAAAACCCCGATAGCGGAACGATATTGTTCTACAGTATTACCCATTATCAAAAAAATAGAGAATGAAAAAAATGTAAATCGCCGCAAACGGGGTAGCGCTCAAGTCAGATATAGACGTATGGCTAATATGTGTTGTAAATTCAATATGTAAATAAACATGAAACAAATAAAAACAATAGTGAAAAAAATAAAAACTGAAAAAATAGTCAAAGATCATGCGTGCTGTCACCACATAATGAAGGTGGCGGATTACAATGAAAAAACTCAAAATGATGTTAACAAAGAAAACACAAACAGATGTCAAGAAGTGGCGACAGAAACTGACATAGCAGTAAACCTGGTATTTACAAAACACGGCGCTTGCGTTGTACGAAAGCGTAGCAAAACATTTAAATGTATTTGGTCTGTTAAGACAGACTGCTATAGCAAATAGCATTAAATGAACACGTATGTACATAACAAGTTTGGAATGTACTGGCGAAGCTCCGAAGTTAATAAAAATATTTTACATACATGTTTATACATATATTTCTATGTTAAATTTCTTTTTATCACATTTAAATTAAGAAGTGTCATACACAAAGACAGCTTAAAATAAAAGCTGTTATGCACTAGCAGGAAAAACAACAACATGGTCTAAGTCTGTGTGTCACTTGGAACACCCTGTGTAATGTAGCTAAAGTAAAGCGTTCAGAAGATCGCGATTTATTTATACACGTGAAGATATTTACATGTCTTTACCTTATGGCTACTTGTGTGCATCACTTACAGGTGTTGAAGATTGGATTTCTTGCGCGTCGTCAATTGACAGATCGTTATCATCACATCCGCGAACATCTTCACCTGTTTGGAAAGGAATCAGATCTTCTTCTGAGCTTATAGAAATTTTCTTTCCCTGTTTACCATTTGTTTTTGCGAAAATCTTCCCGTCATAGGTCCAGCAGCTATCCAGTCCTTGTTCCTTTACTACATTTCGCGTTTTCCACAATAGTGACGCTCTTTGTTTAGTTAATGCCTCGTTTATGAAAATGGGGCCTGTTTGCTTGGATGGATTTCGATTGTAAGATTTAAGATTGCTTTTGTTAGCATACACAATCGCTTTATTTCTGTAACTCAGAAATTTGACTATAATGTCTCTTGGCCTATTTGCTTTTGGGTTAAATCTGCCTACCCTATGACTTCTAGAGATTTCGTTAATAGACATTTTTCCATCATTTTTGGTGAGAATTAGACCGTTAATGACATTTAACACAAGGTCATCTGTGTTTTCGTTTTTGTTTTCGGGTATCCCGGTAATTTTAAGACAATCTCTCCTGGAGTATTGTTCCATCTCTTCCATTCGAAATTTGAGTTCTTTTACTTCCTCACGGAGGGATGAAACCTCTGGGACTAGGACCTCTGTGATTGCGTTTTTAAAGTTTTCTTTTTGTAGAATTAAGGCTATTGCCTGCTTAAAGGAATTTTCATCCCCGGACATAGAGTCAAGCAATTCATTAAGTTGACTTAAATTCTCAGAGTTAGCACTGCTATCACACCTGAATCTCTTCATTGGATTGTCCTTTGTGTTTTTACTACTTGCCATGTTGGTGAGCGCGTACTCACGGCTTTGTACAGTATCAGACAGAAGTTTATATTAGAGCGTTTTTTACATCAAATTATCTTCCATACCCAGAGTATTCAGAATATATACACAATACACTTACATGTTGTACATTTTCACAGAAATTATCCACTGGAAAAACACTCAATTAAACATTATACTTCGGAGCTCACAAAACCACCTCCGCTCTACATGCTGACCTCTGAAAAATGTTCTTAATAACATCTCGCTTATTGTTTACTTGTATTTTTAGCTCACCTGAGCCAAAGGCTCAAGTGAGCTTTTCTGATCAAAATTTGTCCATTGTCTGTCGTTGTCGTCGTCGTCGTTGTCGTCGTTGTCGTTGTCGTTGTAAACTTTTCACATTTTCATCTTCTTCTCAAGAACCACTGGGCCAATTTCAACCAAACTTGCTACAAAGTATCCCTGGGTAAAGGGGATTCAAGTTTGTTCAAATGAAGGGCCACGCCCTTTTCCAAGGGGAGATTATTATACCCCCCGCAAACGAAGTTTGGGGGGGGTATATAGGAATCACCTTGTCCGTCTGTCTGTCTGTCCGTCTGTCCGTCTGTCCGTCTGTCTGTCTGTCCGTCTGTCCGTCTGTCCGTCTGTCTGTGCAATCGTGTCCGGTCCATATCTTTCTTACAGAGGGACATTAGAATCTACTACTCCACATTAAGATTGCTCATAACCTAAGGGTGTGTCATGACCTTGACCCAAGGTCATTTGGGGAAGTTCAAGGTCACTGGAAGAAAAATTTCATAATTCGTGTCCGGTCCATATCTTTCTTATGGATAAACTTGGTAGGTTCTCATTTCACACAAAGATTGCCCATGACCCAAGGGTGTGTCATGACCTTGACCCAAGGTCATTTGGGGAAGTTCAAGGTCACTGGGAGAAAAATTTCAAAATTCATGTTTGACACATATCTTTCATGGATAAGCTTGGTAGGTTCTCATTTCACACAAAGATTGCCCATGACCCAAGGGTGTGTCATGACCTTGACCCAAGGTCATTTGGGGAAGTTCAAGGTCACTGGAAGAAAAATTTCATAATTCGTGTCCGGTCTATATCTTTCTTATGGATAAACTTGGTAGGTTTTCATTTCACATAAAGATTGCCCATGACCCAAGGGTGTGTCATGACCTTGACCCAAGGTCATTTGGGGAAGTTCAAGGTCACTGGTAGAAAAATTTAATAATTTATGTCCGGTCCATATCTTTCTTAAGGATAAACTTGGTAGGTTTTCATTTCATACAAAGATTACCCATGACCCAAGGGTGTGTCATGACCTTGACCCAAGGTCATGTGGGGAAGTTCAAGGTCACTGGAAGAAAAATTTAATAATTCGTGTCCGGTCCATATCTTTCTTATGGATAAACTTGGTAGGTTCTTATTTCACTAAAGATTGCCCATGACCCAAGGGTGTGTCATGACCTTGACCCAAGGTCATTTGGGGAAGTTCAAGGTCACTGGAAGAAAAATTTTATAATTCGTGTTTGATACATATCTTTATTATACAAAAACTTACTTCTGAAAAACCCAGCGGGGGGTATTTTGTCCCGATTGGACAGTTCTAGTTAAGAATTAGAGAAAAATTAATGGCATTTTTAAAAAATCTTCTTCTCAAGAACCACTGGGCCAGGAAAGATGAAACTCATGTGGAATCATCCTCAGATAGTGAATATTCAAGTTTGTTCAAATCATGACTCCCAGGGGTAGGATGGGCCAAAATGGCCGATCAAAGTTTAACATAGGAATATATAGGAAAAATCTTTAAAAATCTTCTTCTCAAGAACCACTGGGCCAGGAAAGATGAAACTCATGCGGAATCATCTTAAGGTAGCGTAGATTCAAGTTTGTTCAGATCCTGACCCCCGGGGGTAGGGTGGGGCCAAAATGGCCGATCAAAATTTTACATAGGAATATATAGGAAAAATCTTTAAAAATCTTCTTCTCAAGAACCACTGGGCTAGGAAAGATGAAACTCATGTGGAATCATCCTCAGGTAGTGTAGATTCAAGTTTGTTCAAATCATGACCCCCGGGGGTAGGGTGGGCCAAAATGGCCGATCAAAGTTTTACATAGGAGTATAAAGGAAAAATCTTTAAAAATCTTCTTCTCAAGAACCACTGGGCCAGGAAAGATGAAACTCATGTGGAATCATCCTAAGGTAGTGTAGATTCAAATTTATTCAAATCATGACCCCCGGGGGTAGGGTGGGGCCAAAATGGCCGATCAAAGTTTTACATAGGAGTATAAAGGAAAAATCTTTAAAAATCTTTTTCTCAAGAACCACTGGGCCAGGAAAGATGAAACTCATGTGGAATCATCCTAAGGTAGTGTAGATTCAAATTTATTCAAATCATGACCCCCGGGGGTAGGGTGGGGCCAAAATGGCCGATCAAAGTTTTACATAGGAATATATAGGAAAAATCTTTAAAAATCTTCTTCTCAAGAACCACTGGGCCAGGAAAGATGAAACTCATGTGGAATCATCCTAAGGTAGTGTAGATTTAAGTTTTTACAAATCTTGACCCCCGGGAGTAGGGTGGGGCCACAATGGCAGATCAAAGTTTTACAAAGGAATATATAGGAAAAATCTTCTTCTCAAGAACCATTGAGACATGAAAGATGAAACTCCTGTGGAATCATCCTCAGGTAGTGTAGATTCAAGTTTTTTCTAATCATGAACCCCGGGGGTAGGGTGGGGCCTTTATGGCCGATCAAAGTTTTACATAGGAATATATAGGGAAACCTTTTAAAATCTAAAAGTCCCCTCCCCCCTCCGTTAACTTTCAGTGCTGATCTCATATGTGCTTTTTTTCTTGCCAATTGCTCAGGTGAGCGATGTGGCACCTGGGCCTCTTGTTTTGGTAAATGTTGGAAGTTATAAAATAAATATATATGCATTAGTTTTTCTTAAATACAGTAGTATTTTTATTGATTTTAGTGTTATTGGTTTACTGTGGAATTCGGTCTATGCAAGCAAGGATCAGATATGAAGGCCTACGGAGCTGGTCTGCTGTCTTCATTTGGAGAATTACAGGTCTCAACTGCTCTTAATTTATTTTTTTCCCAGTAGTATATTTAAAGTAAAAGGAATAATATATCTAATTGTTTATTTATTAAATTTATTTACGTATTATTATAATTTGTTGAATAAATTTATGAAATAAGAATGATGAAATACAACTGATAGCTAAAATATAATTTAAAAACGTGTAGAAATAAAAAATCCCTCAATTAATTTATATGATGGTAATAAAAGAAGTAAATTAAATCATTTAAATGTTAATAATTTACAATAGTATCTATAGATTGTTTTAGTCGTTTGAATGATCAAGATTATATTTAAATTGTCTAGTACTGTTTAACGGATGCTGCAGAGAAGAAAACCTTTGACCCTGCTGTCACATGTGAACAGGAGTATCCAATCACAAAGTACCAGCCTCTGTATTTTGTAGCTGAAAGTTTTGAGAAAGCAAAGGAGAAAATGAGGTTTGCATATTTAAGTAAAATATGGTAAATTAGAATAGTATATAAATGAAAGCGTTTGTGAAGAGCCATCTGAAGATTCTAATGACTTCAGCCAACGGTGTTTGCTAACTGAAAAACCAACACAGTAGAAAGAATTGATCATAAAAATGAGTTTTTAAAAATATTCATTATACGCTGTGCACCGTATTAGAATAGGAACAACTAAATTTTACAAGAATGTTGAAAAAGCATTTTTGGTTCTTCATATGGATAAACAGTTGATGTTATTTACTTTTGTTTGTTATTTAATTATACTTTGCTAAACATTTGTTGTACTCTGTTTCTCATTCGTTTATATGCTGTTTATGATTTATCTACAGAGACTATGCTAAGACCATTCCCCGTCCATTCAGCGTCCGCTACAACCCTTACACACAGAGTGTGGAGGTGATTGAAAACAAAAATCAAATCATTAATCTCACACACGCCATTAAAGGTAAGACATCTTACATAATTAAATATAATTAATTAAATATTCATGGAGATAACGAACAAAACTCAAGATCGAAAGTCTATCCAAAAATACAAATCAGGAGCAGAATAAACACAGACCTCTAAAACAGACTGAGGTAAAATCAGGTGCAATGGAGGACTGAGCATCATCTCCTAGACTATCAATACCCACCGTGTGCCTTATTATTATCACGATAAAATGGAAAAATTTGTTGACAATGCAGTGTATAAATAGTATGGAAATTGTAACCATGTATGCAAATACAACCTTACATTTTGGTTGTATTTGCATACATGGTCTAATATATATTTCATACTTATTGCAAATTCGTTGTTTTTATAAGATGGTATCCATTTTATTTATTAAGTATATGCAAACAAGAAGACATTGACCTATAACAAATATAAAGAATACATTAGAAAAAATACAATTTACATATAGTTTCATAAATATTGACAATAAGTTACCATTCATTCAGTATACATACATGTATTTAAGAAAGAGAAATGTTCTGTAGCAAAATGAACTTTGAACTTACAGACAAAAATATAAGAATTTACCAAATCAACTTTAACTGCAAAAATACGATAAAGTATAAACTTCGCAATTAAAATAATATGTTATACCCAAATCTTTAATAGTAAAGTAACATATAATTAAATATGAAAGTTATACGACAAGATGCGTTGGATATCAGCCGGATATAATTTCTTCTATAAAAATGTAACACTGCCCAATTTTGCTTAGTTTGAACGGTTACTTATACTCAAAGTAAATTAAAACTATTGGATAATATCAAATGAACCAATGAAATTGAAGATAAAAATATTTAAGATTAATTTAGATGAAACGAAAAAATAGAATGATCCCAAAACGAATAAATACATAAGAGATAAATTGTTATAAATTTGGCCTACCACATATGCTAAATTTGACCGCGAATTATTCCGTCTACCAGAACAATACAAAAGGTTAAAAGCGGATGTGACTGATAGGAAAGGGATGCTTACATCTCCTTAACACCTGAGACTATACCCCTGGTGTTGACAGGGGTCTGTGCTTTTGCCCTGTTCTTGAATCATACTTTTTACTAGATTTATGAGATTTATCGATGTTTTGTTTCTTCACCTTTTGCATTTAAAAATCTATTCAAAAATTAATTGAAGAAATATTTTTAAAAACAAATTCGCGAGGAGTTTTCATGCTTTTTTTTCAAATCGCTTTTTTTTGGATTTCTATTTTTTGGTAAAATCTTAAAAGGTATATATTGTTTAAAAATATTTAAATGACTGTCACGTTTTTTCAGGTGATCTTACATTACTCGAAGATGCTTTGTCAAAAGTTGGAGGAATGTGACCAAACAGCCAGACGTATGCTTTTCTTGTAAAAGGAGTGTGAACTTTGAACAAAAAGTGGTTTTTTGTTATGAAGTATTGATTCATAACTTTTGTTATCATGAAATATTAAAAATTTATAAAGAACACGTAAAAAGACATGAAACTTAGCACACTTTACATTGGACATTACTCAGTATTAATTTGATGAAGATTGTGTTATTAATTAGTTCTTTTCATCATCACGTATGGGTTTGTGTCTTTTTGTACAGTTTCTTATTCTATTCATCGAAATATTGTTATGGTTTGAGGATAGTTTTATCATCATTGATGTTTTTTTAAAATATACATTACATGTATTTCAATAAACTGATTCAACCCGTGAAAACAAAATCATATAAAAACTTTTTGAGCTCGATTGTTTAAGGTAGCTTTTCCTATAGAAATGTGTACCTTTTCTGGTCTTTGATGCCGTTGCTGTGAAATTCTGTCAAGCACTGGTCTGAGCTGATCTAAATGCCAAGGAAAATGGATCTGTGCAGACTGATTACATTCGCTATGTTATATGTTACATCTGTTTTAATCATGTTAATTGAGCGGATTAAACTATAGTTAAAATGTTTCAAAAACACGGCAGCCAAATTTTACCCCACCTCTTGGCTGTGAGTTCAAACAACATCACTATTAAATGTCCGTGTAACATTAAACAATTCAAATTTCCAAAATATTTTGGAGTTTTAGAATTTTTGCATATTAGGTCAAATTTCTAAATTCCGAAAACTCAATATCATTTTGTATATAGAAATTTAATATTTTAGTTCAAAGATACAGTATAAAGTTTCGAATTTCTATACAAGTTTGAAAATGTTTTTAATTAAAAAAAAATTTACCCTTATTATTCAAAATTCACATTTTCATAAACATTTTTTTGTATTTTTAACTTTAGAGTTTTTGATCTATCATTTCTTTAGAAAATTAAACTTTTCAATCTAAATTCAGTATCACTTTCCGTATATTGATATTTTAAAGAAGGTATGGTTTTAGCTTTACTGTGTCCTAAAAATGTAATGTCATCAAAATGTTTTGAAACTGGCTTAAATATTAGTTAAGTAAATAACTTTTATAAATCAGGAAAGAATATGGCACAAAGGATTACCCTTCTGCAAATATAACGTCATTAATGTGATGCATTTCTGTATTTTTAACAGAAAAAGCATCAAATTAGCCCATTTCAAGGGTATTTTCCTTTAGAAAATAGTGATCCACAGCCGTCGCCCACTTTAATTTTTTAATATGTTGTGCAAAAACCAATAAAAAATGACATATCTCAAAATCTTTGTGGGCGATGCCTGTGGACAATATTTTCTGAAAGAAATTTCCATTGAAAATTGGTGTCTTCTGCAACTTTTGAAGAAAATACGGGAAAATGCACGTTTATGACGTCACAATTAGCATTTAAAAACATGTGAGAGAAAAATGATTTGTATGATTCTTCTGCATGGAAATTCAATTATTCAGAAAGATTAGTTTTTATCTTTTACACCAGTTTTATTTTTTTAGAAAATCACGGGGCAAGATTTGTATAGAAACCATACCTTGTTCTTCTACTTCAAACTTCTAAATTTCGATTTTTAAACCACTGACAAAAGTATTGGAATCAGAAAGTATGGTTTGAGAGTTTGATCTATCTTCAGTAAATTACACTTTTCAATCTAAATTCAGTATCACTTGCCATATATTGATATTTTTTATTTCACTTCAAACTTCTAAATTTCGATTTTTATATCACTGACAAAACTATTGAAATCACAAAGTATGGTTTTTAATTCAGTTTTTAAAATTATAGTACAAAAATAGAAAGAAGAACATTTGTTATTTCTAATTTTTGGAAAAAATTCTAAACAGTTTTTGGAAGGTTTTTAAGAATGCACACCAAGGTTTATGGTAAACTTGATTTACTTTTCAATCGCCATCTTCCCTTATTTACGCAGGAATATATACCTTCATCACCTGCACACGGGGTTTATATCTCTCAGTACACAAGAGCATGCTCTACGTGTGAAAATTTTCTAAAACGAGGTAAGTTATTGACGAACAAGTTGATGAAGCAAGAATATCAACAGTCTCGTTTAAGGTCATACACTTATTTTGGTAAAGTTCTGTGGTCAATACAATAACCTTGTCCGAAAATACAATGTCAAATGCTGACAAATATTTTTCATACTTTGTTGGGCCATTGTTTACACACTGAATTGTAGACGATTTTTCCGTCACTTATATTTTATTCATTGCGGGTATGACCGGTCATTAGGGGATTCTCACTCCTCCATGGAACCTCATCCTACCTCCGATGTTTTAGGGGTCTGTGTTTGCTCTGCTCCAAAATTTACATTGTTTAATGTACTTTTGATTTTGAGTACTGTTCGTTATCTCCATATATTTCATCTGATATTCACCAATTCTAGAATATAATATAAGTAGACATTTTAACTAGACGCAAATTAAGCGATTTTTCCTTAAAATTGGTTTGTTTTATTTTTAGCGAAATGTAAATTTAGCAATTTTAAAAAGCTAAATAAAGAAGCTATAACAAATAAAGCGCAATCAGTTTTTAGCGAATACAATTTTAGCACCCTCGGTAATGATGCCGAAATTCAATCCTCGATAAAAAAAAAAAATACGGTATGCTATAGAGTAGAAAATCTGAAGTTTCTGTTTTCCAGAAATGAAAATTTTTGTTAGGAGTAAAGAAAGGGGCTTGGTAGATCGAGTACTCGCAATTAGTTTAAAATATATTTTATTCATTGAATTGGATTGAACAGAAGGCATAAATGCCTATGATCGTTTTCTCCATCACTCACATTCGTGACGTAAAAATAGATATTTTTTCTTGTGTTCAAATATTTAATTTCAGGTGATTTTCTTGATAAATATTAACAAACTTGCGTACATTTTATATCATTTCAAAACTGGCAAAATGCTTATACATTATGCAAACATTATTCACGTTATTCAAATGAAAATAAAACTAAAAAATATGTTGAGATGACTGAAAAAAGTTTGTGATACAAGTATTGATCATAGATATCCTTGATCCTTTATATTTACTGTTAGTTATCAATCAACAATACGTATTTTGAGATAAGAATGATACAGCTTTCTTTTTAAGCTAGAACCATTTTAAATTTCAATTAAAATGTTATTTTATAAATCTTTTAATGTCTTGAGCAGCATCACTGTTGGTAATGCTATCATAACAGGAGTTCGTGGATTCATTGTAAAGAATGTTAGTGAAATCTGAAATTCTGTCATCCGATCGATCTGTCCACAAGTTTTCTGGTACAACACCCTCCTCACAAGCATGGATAACGACAAGCATGATTTTTGGTTTTCCTGTACATAAAAAAGTCAATAAATAAGAAGAATTTACTATTAAAAGCTATAATGAAAAAAGGACGAGAAAAAAGTATTTTTTCCTGTCTTATACGTACAGGGACCAATTAGCTTGTGACCTTTCATATCATCTATGACCTAATCTTCATGATTATTTAATAATTGCAAAATCTATCTATGATAAGCTTTTTAGCTATTTAGAAGACATGTATGTGCAATGATTGTCACTAGATTTTTTCAATTATAGGAAATACAATTTAACTTGCAATAATTATACTTAATTTGTAGGGTAGAGGTTAGCGTGATTTTCTTAAAGAAAAATGATATTCAGGATTTTTTTGCTAGTTTTAAAATTTTTCTCAAAATTGATTATCACAATTTTATACATTTCAATAATGAGAACGTTACTTCTAATACAAAATTTACAAATTCAAATTATTTTAATTTTTTTTGTTTGAGCTATAGGTACTTTGCACGCCTTGTTCATGTCCGGAGACAAGTTGAACTATTGGCTCATAGGTTTTGTGTAAATCAAAAATATGAAACGGTCAACATAGTCAATCAGGAGATATAAAAAGACATGAATGTACTGTATCATAATTCATAATACCTTTAATATCGAGAGCACCAAGCGTGGCTTTAATATCATCTGTAAGTCTTGAGATCTAAGATTCTCCGCATAAAGATATTAACTGAGACATAAAAAAACTTTCAGATGTACTATGCTTTAGCATATTTTGGAATGGAAGTTGTGTAAAACAGATATGGTTTTACACAAAAGGGTATTATATATCATTTTTTTAAAAATGTCAGTAACATCTAAATATAGGACCTCTCTTTACTCATTCTCATGCCAAATTCAAAATTCACACTTTTTTGACATCGGAATTGATAAACAAGATGACTTCAACCTTTCTATTGTCAATATTTCTTGTTCTGGAAACACTATACCCTTGTCACTTTCATATGGAATTTATGTGTCCCAGTAGCTTCGATACGCATAAGCATACATTATGTACGATCGGTCTTAAATCCAGGCAATAAGACTTTGATGACACTAGAATATGAACACGCTGGGTTAAAGTCAATATTTATCAAGTTTACTTTTCCCCTTTGTACGCGATTTCACATCTGATGTTTTTGGAGGCCCGTGTTTGCGTTGCTCCTGACTTTAAGGTATCCGATCCATAAAAGGACATAATTTTCTAACCTTCAATATTCATTCTATATTAAATACTCTGAAACTAATTCAAATCAGTTTATAGTAGAAAAGGATTTACCAGGAGAAATTTTCAAAAATATAATTATTCGAGCAGTAATTACTTAATTAAGAATGTATTGAGCTCTATGGGAAAAAAGCATTTATTTAAAAATAAAAATAAATACTGTTAATATCAAAAAATGCTTTGGTGGAAAGATGCATATAATTATAAAGAATAGAAAACGATTAAAAAAATAATTTTTCACCAGATAGATTTTTTAAAAATAAATTTTATTGATTAAAAGCAAAGGAGGATAACTCTTAAAAGACGGGTCATGGTAAAAAATTAGGACACATTCTGCTCTTACATACTGAGACTAAATCATAAAGATTATTACTACATATACTGAGTATTCAGCCAATATATATCTGTTATGCATATAAATTCATTGAATCTGAGGCTATTATGGATCGGATACCTTAAGTTTCGTTTGTTTAGCAGACGTTTGAGATTAATTACTGTTGGTTATTATGTCTGTTTTGATTCATCACCCTCTCAAGTAACTATAAAAAACTAACTTAATCACATATGCGCTATTTTTGCTTCCTTTAAAAGTTTTGAAAAAAAATCATTTACAGGATGAAGTTTAACCATTCAGTTAACTGAATATTCACCAAAGGGTCTGCAAATTCAAGGTCAACATCGGTGGAGCCCTTCATTTCAGTCTCCATATAGTAAACCTTCAGTCATCTTTTAATTGACTCATAACGAATATTCTTCATCACAAAACCTACTCTAAATGCGTTTTCCAAGTTTTTCAAGCTTACTTTGAATTGAAATTAAAAACAAGATGTGTTTGTGAAACACTGATGCCCCCGTTTAGCAACATAGCAAAGATAAAACTTTTCTTAAATGCAAAATAAATATATCAGTATCCAAAGTAAGGTCTTCTCACAATTCGATTGTGAAATATGAACGCCCTAGCACAACCTGTTCAAAAGTTATGGCCAAGGGTAAGTGTTTGAAAGATAGGTCAAACTCCAGGGTAAGGTTAGAGGGACAAAGTTGTTGGTTTCTAAAGAAAGGTCTTGTCACAAATATTACTTATGTAAAGTGTGAAAGCCCTTGCCCTAACCGTTCAAAGGTATGGCCAAGTTTAAAGTTTTTAAAAAGTAGGTCAAACTCCAAGGTCAAAGGATAAAAGATTTTGATATCGAATGAAAGGTCTTGTCACAAGGCTTAAATATGTATGAAAGCTATAGTTCTAGTCCTTCAAAAGTTATAGTCATGGTTTGTTTTTTAAAAGTAGGTCAAACTTAAAGGTCAAAGGGTCAAAGTTCTATGTATCCGATGAAAAGTCTTCTCACAAAGATTACATATGTGAAGTAGGAAAGCCCTAGTTCGTACCGTTCAAAAGTTACGGCCAAGGTAAAAGTTTTTACATAAGTACTGAAGTCTCAATGGTCAAGGTCAAAAGGTCAAAATTGCTGGTTTCCAATGAATGGTCTTGTCACAAGAAATACATATGTAAAATATGAAAGTCCTAGTATCTACCGTTCAAAAGTTATGGCCAAAGTAGGTCAAATTCCAAGGTCAAGGTCACAGGGTCAAAGTTCTTGGAAGGCAATGAAGTGTCTTTTCACAAGGATTATATATGTGCAGTATGAAAGCTCTAGCCCTTATCGTTCAAAGGTTATGGCCACACTGTATACAAAGTGCTAATCGAAAATCTACTTGATTTGAATCACTTGCTATATTGCTTTGGGTACTCTGGTGCATTATGGGTAAAACAGAAAATTCTGCAGACAAAATATGGCTTAAAGTAACTTTAAGAAATTAGGAAACTTATTTGTAGAATGAATGTAAATTTATTTGAGGAAATTTTTAAGTTGAAACATGCTAGAATTTCGGTACCGTTCCCATTTACTGAGAGAAAATGCTTTTTTCGCTCATTTTGATTCATTTCAATTGTTTTTTATTTTTTTCAAACTATATTCTGTTGTAAAAATTATTGTATATAAGTTATCTACTCAATTCACCCACGAAACATCATCTGATTTCTATACATCACGCTTTTTTGAGAAATTGAGCTATTCTTGTTTTGAGTGAATGCTATAATATGTTTGCAACATATATTTGAGATTGCTATACTTTTTTTCGGATCCTTTTTTGTGATTTGCATGAAATCAAGATTTATTGTTTTTTGATAAAATTATTGCGATTTTAACAGTTTTGAAAAAATATTGGCATTCATAATAACAAGAGAAACATTTATGAGTCAAAAGAAGTTAGATAGAAATAAATAATTATAGAATTTGATGAAACGTGCAATCATTGCTGGTGTTTGTGCTATACTTGATTTGCATGTTGTCGCGATTGATACAAAAATGCTATGTTTGATTTGCCTAGAATACTAGTACTTCTTGAAGAATGGTGGCGTATATAGGGGGGGGTATAATCCAAAGACACTTTCTCAAATTTATGTCATGAAATATTAATAACTTACAATGTATTGATAAATACATGTTATATATTTTCACTAATATTTTAAAGGTATGTTAAAAGGAAAATAAAGGCTTCACAAACTACTAGTATTTGAACTCTCTCCAAAGCTCATGATAGGCGTGAGACTGAATGCTTTAGCCACTGTATGCTACGGTGTCTTCTTGATGGTTAACAAAATGAATTGTTGAGACAAATAATATTTTTCCACCCATTATTAAGGTCTTCCGTTTCAGACGGAAGACCTTATAGAGATTCTACTGTTTTTTCTTCTTCTTCTTCTTATTTTTTTCCCCAATTCTTGTCGGCAGGATTTCTGAGATGGCTGACAGATTTTCCTGAAATTTTCAGGGATGATAGAGAATGAAAAAACCCCGAGACGTTTTTTTTTTTTTAATTTTTTTCAAAATTCACTTCGGGTCGTCAGATATGTCCGATTTCCGCTTTTTTCAAAAATATTTAATCCGAGTGAGATCTCAGAAACGGTAAGAGATTAAGGCACTAAACTTACAGGGATGATAAATCTTGATAAGTAGGCAAATCCATTTATTTTAAGATCGTCGGCCGTCACTTCCGGTCGTCACAGGAAGTGATCATAAATATAAAAAATTTCAGTTCAAACGAAAATTTCAACTTTTTCTTTATAAAATTTTTTTTTGCATCACATTATAGCATCTTATTTGTCGTTTCGATATATATGTCAGTCCCACCGAAAATAAAAACGACAACTTCCGGTTATAAGAGGAAAACTGCATATTTTCAGTATTTTTCTTTCCCATGAATATTTTTTATACATCAAGCACTTGTAATGATTTTTGGATATGTTATTGAGACTGCAGATGTCTACAGTTATGTCAAATATATCTATGAAATTCACTTCCGGTCGCGTGATTTCCTGTCGTCAAAATGAGAAGTTATCACAGCTAGATATCAAAAACGGTAAGAGATTTAGTCACCAAACTTATAGGACTAACATATCTTGATAAGTAGACAAATCCATTTGTAATAAGATCGCCCACCGTCACTTCCGGTTGTCACAGGAAGTGGTCAAAGAAATCGAAAATTTCAACTTTTCTTTTATGAAAAGTTTATTGCATCACATTATAGCATCTTATTTGTTGTTTCAAAATATATCAATCGCACCGGACACAAAAACGACAACTTCCGGTTATAAAAGAAGAACTACAAAATATGAGTATTTTTCTCTCCCATTTATACTTTTTATAGATAAAGTATTTGTTATGATTTTTGAATATGTTATTCAGACTGCATATGTCTACAGTAACGTCAAATATCCTTATGAAATTCACTTCCGGTCGCGTGATTTCCTGTCACAAAAATGAGAAGTTATCATAGCTATATCTCGTAAACTGTAAAAAATTACGACGCCAAACTTATAGGAATGGTAGAATTTGAAGAGAATGCAAATCTATTTGGGTTAACATCGTCCGCCGTCACCTCCGATGTCACAGGAAGTGATCAAATAAATAAAAAAAATTCCATAATTCTTTTTGGAATCTTTCTTAGTAATACATTATAGCATCTAATTTGTAGTTTTTAAATATATCTGTCCCACTGGAAACAAAATCGACAACTTCCGGTTATGAGAGAAAATTTGCATAAATTGAGTATCAGACTAAATCATAAATATCTTTTAAAAGAGAGTATTTGAAATGATCTTAGGACATGTCATTCAGACTGAAATGTCTAGAGTAACCTCAAATATCTTTTTTTTTTAAATTAACTTCCAGTCAGGTAGGTTCTCAAAATGAGATGTTAACATTACAGATCTCTTAAACTGTAACAGATCAAGACACTAAACAAATACAGCGTAAAATGTGTCTGTCGTCACTTCCGGTCGTCAGAAGAAGTGATAAAAAAATTGAAAATGTTTTTTGTAAATGTTCTTAAGGCTATAATTGTCTAAAGTAATGTGGAGAATCTTGGTAAGTTACACCTCCGGCAGTTTGTTTTCCTGTATCGTTTTAAATATTATATGCCTTTTTTAACACAGAGAAACGTTCATTCATACAGATAAATAGAGGAGAACGGTAGACCGTTTTTGTTGCTGTAGCAACAGGAGTTTCTAGTTTAATTTATCCTTGGTCGTTTTTTTTTTTGGCTTACTTCTTTCACCCAACTGTTAGACCTTTGTTTTTATACTAAATTTGATCACGAAATGCTCCGTTTACTTGATCAATACATAAGACTCACTGCGGGTGTGTCCGGTCAATGATCAATACTCCTCCTAGCCACCTGTTCCAATCTCTGGTATTCAAGGGAGTTCGTATTTATGCCCTGCTCACACATTCGTATTGTTTGTAAATTTTTCGACATAAATAAATACTCATTATCCTCACTTTTTTTAACATTCCAGAAATATTCGACTTTTAAATAGAATGGGTTCAGACTCCATTTAGAAAAGACACAATGGGTTTACTTTTCCGTGATATAAGCACAAAACTTAGGATTTAATATTAATGTACCCATTTTCCACTAAAGAAGTTTAAAAAACAATTTTCAATCAACATGTCTTTCAGTACAATACTATTATATGAATCAAATATGTTGAAGATGACATTACCGACAACATAATTTTAGAAAAATGAAACTTTTCCGTCATAGAGCGAGTGATTGTCCTCGCCTTATACACTTTCTCTTTTATAAATCTATGATAAAGAGATTATAATGCAACTTTTGTAATATTTCACCTATTTTCACACTATCATCAGATTTCAGAACTTAAAGCCAAGAATCTGAAACAGAATCTATGAAGATCAAAGAAATTAAAAAAATATATAGTTACGGAAATTTATTGATTATCAGAGATATGCTTTGATTTTTATGAAAAAAGATCCAAGCATTCTTCGAGAGATGTTGTACCCGTTTGTTTTCTTTTTATTACATGAAAACATTTTTTAATATTTCATGCAATCTCTTCTTAACGCTTATTTGGCGGAATTGAAATTTGTAAATGAACGAAGCGGCATTAAGATTTGAAGCTGAATGCGTTTTAATCATTATGTTTTCTTATCAAAACTTTGCATGCATATATATACCACTAAATATTTACAAAACTATGTGTATATATCAAGTCAAAGAGTTGAAATCGATCTTTAAAATTGTTTAAGATTTTACAATTTGGTAAACGACATAAATTTTTTTACTTTGGTATGTTTTTGTTGATGAATGACTGACATAAGTTGATGGAAAAAATGAGAATACCGGTATATATAATCTGTCCACCAATTAAGCCGACCCCCTCCCCAACCATAAAGTAGGGTTTTTGTGTTTCTTTAAATGTTATGGACAATTGCAACAATGTAATCCCCTCCCCTTCCCCAAGAAATTTATGCTGGATCCATCCTTTATTCCGGAATTTAAAAAAATGGAACTTAACATATTAATTAACGAAATAAAAACGTCATTAGAGTTGTTTCCATTAGAAAATAAAAAGATACTTTCCCGAAAGGCCACATTACTTTTTCTATAATTTATACAAATACAAATGTATCACATTCACTGAAGCATAAAACATAATTGAACTAGGCCTAATTGCTATATGTATACTCGAAAACAGTATAGCTGTCATGACAACAAAGATAGCCTTTGGATAATGCAAATATATATCCGGAAAAGTTGATTTAGGTGCATATTTGATGTGATTTTAAGATATAGAAACCTTGTGGTCAAATTTGATAGCTAACGTTTGAATAGGATTTATATTAAACACAACAATAAATGTTTTATTGAAGTAATATCAAGAGTCCATTCAAGTGGCTGATTAGTCGAAAAATGACCATCAGATGCGTGAAAACGCGTGCTACCGATGTTTAAGGAAGGGTGGGTGATACAAAAACATAATAATCTTTAAATATGGCAAGAAGAAGTTTCATATTGGTTTAGTTTTATTATTAGTAAAAAAATTTATATAAAAGACATTTTTTGTCTAAATGTGCAGACAGAAACTTCGAATGATCCAAACAAATATAGCTAGTGATTCAAATCAAGTAGATTTTCGATTAGCACTTTGTATATAGTGGGCCAAGGTTAAAGTTTTTTCATAAGTATTCGGATATCTCCAAGGTCAAAAGGTCAAATATATTGGTACACAATGAAAGGTCTTGGCACAATAATACATATTTGAAGAATAAAAAAGTCTTGGTATATACTGTTCAAAAGATATGGCCGAAATGAAAGTTTTGAACGTTTTCAAACGTAGACAGACAGACAGCTAGATGGACGGACACGACAAAAAAAAAAACAAACTATATACCCCCGAAACTTCGTTTATGGATGCATAAAAATATGTTATTGTTAATCATTCGAAGCCTACTTCTATTTTGAAAAATATTTTTTTTGGCATATAAAGAAATTTGTATGTAGAGTCTGTGGGATGATTTTACCAAATTGACATTGATAATTTAACTGCAAAAGGATTTTGGGTTATCCGAATTTTTTTTTCGATTTTCTTTAATTGTTAGGAAATATTATTTTTTAATAAGCTTTCACTATTTAAATTTTTCTTATTTTTTGAAGTCATATAGAAAAACATCATGATTCAAAAACAAAAGGTTTGATCGCTTACAAAGAGAGAAAAACACTTTTTGCTGATTGCTGGCTCAAATATGTGCTTAGATCTGGACATATTTTATACATTTTTAAACTTTTGTTTCTTATTATAAATTTTTGTACATTTAAATAGATTTTCTCGGGTCTTTGATTATGTTAAAAATTATAACTAAATTCATTATTCTATAATAATTTTGAGAAGCAGAAAAGATATTTTCATACGCCGCCATTCCGCCAAAATATAATCCATGCTAGTTACCAACTCATTTTTTCATGATAAGTTATACAATTGTAATGAGGAAGGAAAATAGGATCTTTTAAATCTCTTACATTAAAATATATAAGACATATAGGCAATGAATTAGACTTTGGATATTTCATCTTATCAAAAACAAGACAAGAATCCCATCTTACCTGATTATAATTTTGTTCAAAATAAGTATTTCCAAATCAACACAAAAACCTTTATATATATATGCTGAAAATCTTAACACCAAAAATTATTCTTTTTTTTTTTTTTTTTTTATAGATATTATATCCATCTGAATAGATGTCAACTATACATATACTTTAAAACGCATAGATGCAGTTTTTTGTTTTATTTGACGTAACTCAATGTACCAATTACAGTATAACATTTCTGTTATCGTTTTTAACAGCAAAACAAATGTACAAATAAGCCAAGTTTCTATAAAGGAATTTTGTTACTATTTAATATGAAACGTAGTTAATAAAATGAAGTTGTTTTTCTTTTGTATGAAGTCTTCACAAAGTTTTTATATGATGTACATGTAGTTACCATTTTAATACATGATATGTCCATTTCATCAGTTACTTCTTATAAAGTCTTTGATGGCTTTCACGGCCTTACCGTTTATATGACAGTCGTAACATTGTTCGGAATCGCTATATACAATATTAGCAAAAGAAGAGACCCTGCTATCTCTATTTTCTGTTAGAAGGTTTTCCGGCTCTATGTCACGTTCACAATAGTGCAATACAATAAGCATTATTTTGTGTTGACCTAAAAAATATATAAATTAGTTACCACATGAACTGATAAAAAAAGGATTATGTATTTCTTGATACAAGTTTAATTTTTGCTACCTAAAATATGAACGTGTTTTCTTAAATAAAAACAAAATTCCATATGTTATGAATGATTCGAATAATAATAATAATAATGATTACCTAATATTTTGAAATAATTCAAAGTCTCTGTAATGTCATCTTGAAGGCGAGACTTCTTCGGACAAAGTATAATTACTGTGTTCGTAATTACTTGAAGATCTTTCCACTCGAGGTTGCACGATCGCAAATACTTGTTTTGAAAGTTTAGAAATGTATTTCGACAATATGCTTGAAGTGGGGATGTTGTCACTATAGGATAAAAAAAAATATACAAACAATAAATGCCTTTTACATCAGTGAAAATAATTGTAAGATCTTCCCTATTCATTCCAACCATCCTTATCAATTTACTTAATTTTCCTTTTTTCTTTTCGTACAATTACAAAAGGTCAAAAGAAAAAAAATCTTCAAACATATGAAATTGTCCTTCAGTTTTCTTTAATTTAGTTATTCAGTTTTTCATTCAACTGATTTTTATTTACTTGATGCGTAAATAATCTGTAAGACTCACCGTGAATTGATTTCGTTAAAAGGCGACCATTTTCTTCACTGTCTTCTGATTGCAAAAGATACAAAGGTAATAAATGATTTACATTGTACTATCAGAGAAAAAGAAGTATTTAAAACTACATTCATTTTAATATTCAATGAAGAGAAATCAATGATATTTAAACAGTTTTTATCATTTAAATTTCCTTTTTAATGATATATAATCAATCTGTTGATTTATTATTTTGTTTGATTATAATGAATTAAAAGTGAACTTTGTTCATTATATTTATATTTTAGTATTATACGATACAATCTGTTTTTCAGACGGACTTTATGCATACTATAGTTTAAAGTGGTTTATTTTCATTAAAATACAAATTTATAGGAATACATTTCCAAGATTCTTTCTTGAATGGAACATAGAGTATTTCATTGATAAATTATCGTAAGTATAATCTCTATTTTTTAATCAAAATTGTGAAAATGAAGTCGGATCTAAAAGTAAAATTCTAGTGGAAAGTAATAAATCATCTAAGCTTTATTTCTCCTACCTAGACTGTTTTCAAAACATCCCCAATACTATATATTTTTCTATAATCTTCTATGTTACTTCTAATATAATAATATAAATTTGATTTTTAACTCTTTCATTAAAAAAAACAAAGCATAATAGGATATTATAATTGAGCATTTAGGTCATTATAAAATTTTTTGAGTAATGCCAAGTTTATGTGATCCAAAATATGCTTAGCTGGAAAAAATAACGAAGGCCTAAGTCTGAGTTAAGTTATGCTAAACGTGAAGACCTATTGTTTTCAATCGTCAACTTTTCTTTTGAATCAATATACTGTCATCAGCTGCATAAAAAAGGGTGCGCTTGAAATAAAAGATACCACAAAGTCTGACACATCTGTTTAATACTTAGATATTTTACTTGAAAAAGACCTTAATCATTATGGTAATCTAACAACCAAGCTATATGATAAATATGATGACTGCTCCAATTTTGTATTGTTTAATAGACTTTTGGGATTGAATAATCTTAATGACAATTTATCCCTAATGCATATTCTTTTCATTTATCATTCAGATGGATGGATGTCATGTAGGTAAAACAGGACTCAGGTTGGCACTTAAATCATTTATCTTCATCACTATTTCTTTTCAAGACAATCGTTTCAAAATAAAACAACAATTTCGATCCCAAAGAAATATTACTGCTTTTACAGTTCTTCAAATTATTAACAATTTGATTACATAATCATTGGACAGTGACATCCAGAATAAACAATATTTTAGGTTCAAACGTATTCACAATAATGAAATTAATCACCTGCAAAACCGCAGCACAAATTCCTTAGGAAATTGAATATTGCTCGTAAGCAATCAAATAACCATCGGCACATCCTTATTAGGTATCTAAAAACAGAAAAGAGAGAATACCTGATAATAGAATTATCAAAATGTTAACTTTTTTTCATTAAATAATCACTTTTTTGTTCGCTGGCTGCATAAAAATAAAAGAAAGGTTTAAAACAATTCGTCAATATTTTTCCTCTTGCTTTTAGAGATCAAATCATAAAACAATGTACAAGAATTCCGATGGGTATCAATTGCACTCCGTAAAAAGCAGACATATACATTGTATTTCTAAAAATAGGTAAGTTATTGACAACAAGTTGCTGAAACAAAAACATCAGCAGTCTTGTTTAAAGTCATAATTTTGTAAATCATGTATTCGATACCATGAACTTGTCTTATCAGTAAATACAATTTATTATTGATTCAAATGCTGGCTGGCGTTTTATACGAATTGTTAGGCCATTATCTGTTCATACTTGGCCATTATATACACACTGAATTGTCAACTTTTGAGCTTGAATACTGTTCGTTATCTCAATATATTTCATTCTAATTACATTTCATAATACTAATGTTAAATAGTTGTTTAAATAATTGTTTAAATAATGAAGCTGTTGATTTTCATCTACCTCATGTTACTCTGAAACACCCGATTTCCCTTTCAAAATGAAAAAAAAAAATTAAAGGAAGTAGGTGAATGTTTTATTTAAACATTATGAATAACATGATCATTAAACAAGTTTACATTTTACAAACATTATTATTAATTATCGTGATAAGAGAGTAGTACAAGTTATACATATCTCGCTTCTATTATATAAGAACGCGGATCATCAAGTGGCAAGATTAGAAATATACATCTTACGTAATTTCTATCTGTGACAATGAAAACATTCAATGATAGACAATGAAATGGGCGGGTACAATTCGATGAGGACGCGGGGAAAACATTGAAATTCTAGTTTGAAATTCATTTTCAATCCACCTGAGCTTTTTTCAAACGCAAAGTGTGAATGTACATGTATGATCCAAAACACAAATGATACCAATGAAAAAAATCCCTTGTATAAGACAAGTAAAGTTACAAATACGTGGCTCTCAAAATTGCTCAACATTGATAGGAGTTTTGAAAATGAAAACTATCTTAACAAATCATGAAACATCGCAAAAATATTAAAAGCAAACTAAACTGTCACTGACAACATAAAAATGAGAATAATGTTAATTAATATTATAAATCCAATAAACACTTGTTGAATTTTTATTTTATGTCGGGAAAACATTGTGGTATAGACAAAACTTTGTTTTGTTAATTTTGTTAATTTCCAAAGTCTGAAATTAACATAATATAGTTGGCAAACTACATTGGGTCACAAGTTATTTACAATAACAGAAACTAAATCGACATAGAAAGAAAGTCTTGAATCTTTAAACATTACAACAATTAGGCTCCTTCTCCATTACATTCGTGATTTTCGTACATTCCTCTTCACACTACACTTTAACAAAATCAAACAAAATCTGCAACCACTTTTTTCATCTTCTTTGAAGCAATTCTATTTTCGTTACATTCATAGCATCCTGATTCATCACTGTACAAAATATTGATAACATCTTCGAAACGAGCATCCTCATTTGGCAAAGAAATATCAAGCTGTACACCTTTAACGCAGTAGTGTAGAATAATTAATATAGGCTTTACTGCATCTGTTAGGAAGTAAGCATTGTAATGAATTACAGAAAGATTCACTAAGATATTTTAAAACGACCTTATTTTATCGTCTCTTTTCACTCACAACAGGTAAAGGGCTCATAATGAATGAGTTTGTGAAATACTGTACTTCATTTAAATAAATGATAAAGCAATTTACTTTGTACATAAGCTTTATTGAAAAAAAAATTTCTTATGCAGAAGCACATATAACATATATCATACATACCTGAAAGACAAACACTTGATTTTGTGTGTGCTATATCATCTTCTAAGCGAGACATTTTTAAACATACAAGAAAAACCTTTTCTTGCAAGGCCACTTCGTTTGCACTTGTTTTCCAAATAAATTCGTAAGGCAAAGAATTAACTTCTTTAAACATACACATAATTTTTCTGCATTCATTTTCTCTTGCATTGCACAGGAAATACAATTTTGTTTTGTCTAGAAAGAATATGATTTTGTTTAGTGTACTTTTTGCTATATTTTAATGAAACATATGGAAATTTCAGATGATAAAAAATGTCTTTTATACCTGGTGTGGTAAAAGGATTCCATGACTTGCTGCGTTTGGGGTTCTTCGTCTTGCAAATGGAGGATTTTCGCATCTGCTTTTCTTCCGAAAAGTCTAGATATAAATTTGAATTTTTGTGTGATTTCGTTTTATAAAAAAAAACAACCAAAAGGGAAATTTATAAGTAGAATTAATACCAAAATCCAAAATAGTCCAACCTTCTAAACCAGAGTGTTTCTTTGCGCCCGTGGATGATGAAATTGCATTGTGATTTCTTTGTTTCTGTTTTTAGCTCACCTGAGCCGAAGGCTCAAGTGAGCTTTTCTGATCACATTTTGTCCGTCGTCCGTCTGTCTGTCTGTCTGTCCGTCTGTAAACTTTTCACATTTTCGACTTCTTCTCAAGAACCACTGGGCCAATTTTGACCAAACTTGGTACAAAGTATTCTTGGGTGAAGGGAAATTTAAATTGTTAAAATGAAGGGCCAAGTCCCCTCACAAGGGGAGATAATCAAGAAAAGACAGAAATACGGTGGGGTCATTAAAAAAATCTTCTTCTCAAGAATGACAAAGCCAGAAATTCATCAAACTTATGTGGAAGCATTCTGGGGTAGTGTAGATTCTAAATTTTTCAAATCATGACCCCCCGGGGTAGGGCGGGGCCACAATGGGGAATCAAAAATTTACATAGAAATATATAGGAAAATTCTTTGAAAATCTTCTTCTCAAGAACCACTGGGCCAGAAAAGCTGAAACTTATGTGGAAGCATCCTGGGGTAGTGTAGATTCTAAATTTTTCAAATCATGACCCCCGGGGGTAGGGCGGGGCCACAATGGTGAATCAAAGTTTTACATAGAAATATATAGGAAAAATCTTTGAAGATCTTCTTCTCAAAAACCACTGGGCCAGAAATGCTGAAACTTATGTGGAAGCATTCTGGGGTAGTGTAGATTCTAAATCATTCAAAGCATGACCCCCCCGGGGCCACAATGGGGAATCAAAGTTTTACATAGAAATATATAGGAAAATTCTTTGAAAATCTTCTTCTCAAGAACCACTGGGCCTGAAACTTATGTGGAAGCATCCTGGGGAATCAATGGGGAATCAAAGTTTTACATAGAAATATATAGGAAAATTCTTTGAAAATCTTCTTCTCAAGAACCACTGGGCCAGAAAAGCTGAAACTTATGTGGAAGCATTCTGGGGTAGTGTAGATTCTAAATTGTTCAAATCATGACCCCCCGGGGTAGGGCGGGGCCACAATGGGGAATCAAAAATTTACATAGAAATATATAGGAAAATTCTTTGAAAATCTTCTTCTCAAGAACCACTGGGCCAGAAAAGCTGAAACTTATGTGGAAGCATCCTGGGGTAGTGTAGATTCTAAATTGTTCAAACCATGACCCCCGGGGGTAGGGCGGGGCCACAATGGGGAATCAAAGTTTTACATAGAAATATATAGGAAAATTCTTTGAAAATCTACATCTCAAGAACCACTGGGCCAGGAAAGCTGAAATTTATGTGCACATCGAAGCATCCTGGGGTATTGTAGATTTCAAAATGTCTAAATCATGATCAGTGGGGTAGGGTGAGGTCGCAATATGCATTAAAAGGGGGAAATCTGGTAAAGAACAGAATGGTCAAAGCTTCTCAGGTGAGCGATGTGGCCCATGGGCCTCTTGTTTTACCATGTTATCTATGAAGAATAAATATTGAGGAAAACATTGTTTTGGTCTATGTTGATACATTCTATTTTAAATAGGCTTTTGTTGTTACCAGTAGAATTTGATAGTTGCTTGTAATGATATCGATTTTATATCCGCGAAGACATCCTGTTCACGTATCTATTATCATGATTCTCAAATTACAAGAATTGTTATCATTTAAAGAAAAGAATTGTTATTTAGTATTTGTTAATAAATAAATGGAAATGAATTTTAAATTTCTCAATCATAAAAGACATAAATGTTGAAAAATAATGTGACATGAATAAAAACTACATGAACATGTATAAGAAAATAAAGGGTTGATTTTAAACGAAAATGATCTTTTGACCTTGCGTACTGTTCGTTATCTCCAAATGAAAAATTTTAGACTCTACTTAAAATTTAGACAAGACCTTATTAGACAAAAAACTAATCCCTTACATTTTACACTTTAACAAATGTATTTGACCATGTTACACCAAAATGGTTAGTGGTTTATCAGCTGTATAAAATCAATTTTAATACCAAAAAGAATCTATCACAGGATGAAAATCCACCATTCAGTCGACTTAATGGTAACTGAATGCCCACGGAATGGTCACTGAAAGGTCGCTGAAAAGACCATTTCCCGTGACCTTTCCGTGATCATTCAGTTACCATTCAGTCGACTGAATGGCACATACATTTCAGTGACCTTTCAGCCATCGTTCTGTTGCATCTTTTTACTGAATAATCAGCTTATTTTTTAACTTAAAAAAATTATTTCACTTTTTCCTTGTAAAGTAGCATTAAATTTATCTAATTCCGAATAAAACATTGAGGGAAAAAATTAATGTAAGAAAAAAAAATTGTGCATACCGCCGGAATCGAACCCTGGTCTCCTACTCTAGTGTCCGCGACCTTATCAATTGAGCTACAGTTTCTTGAGGTCTAAAAATGAATTAAAATCAATCAAATTGTATAAATCGATGGAACAATCGGTTCACCTGTTGTACCGAGGAACTGCGATGTGTATATATCTTGTATATCTTTTGTATATTCTATGTTAGTTGCGCGGATTTTGGGGACAGACTGATTAATTACACATCTCCCATCGGGATGATGACAATTATCATCGACGGTCACCTGTTTCTGTGTCAGATATGCGAGATCATTGTAAACTTAATTCTCTATCTAGAAATTTAGTAGAATAAAATGTAATTTTAAAAGCTAAACTCTACAAAATTTAGTTTTTCCTACGAGAGGCATGTATTAATGATTTATTCTATTCATGTAAAATGATTTTAAAATGATGTCTTTCAAAAGCTAAAATATCCTATGGTTTTGAAATTAATTAAGAAACGAAATTGATCAGGGGCCCGTTTTACAAAAGAACTTACGACTAAAACCAAACACTTCAGATTACTGTAAAATTTTGAAAAATTAATAATTCTCTTTTAAATTTTCTGTGTAAAAATATCTTACCACATTCTTTTTAAAATGTTTAAAATAATTTTCGATATAATGTTAATTAAAAAGTTAAATGAAGAATCAAATTTGGTCTTAAGTTGTAAGTCCTTTTGTAAAACGGACCCCAGGTATATAAGGGACCTTCCAGAAAAGATGTAAATCAAATAAATTCTGTCTCATCAATCAAAAATAGATACTTCCATGAAAAATACACGTTTAAGCACTATAGAATGTTATGCGGCATTTATGTAAATTTTGATTCAATTATCGGATCATTATTCTTTATCACTTGACGAAATTTTGTTTTCTAAATGTAATTAGAAAATTAATAAAAATCATTTTGAATAAATTTTTATTTTATAAAATTATAATATTATTTAGACATATTTTAAGGTACGCGAATTTAATTACGATAAGTAAAAAACACAATTAAGATTGAATAATAAATCTTTAGTCAAAATATTGCTTCATTGATAAGGGAAAAAATATCTGCATGATTATAAATTAATAAGCTAATGAAAAAAATCGCAAAATTGAGACTAAAATTAAATATCACTGAAAGGTGGCGGAAAGGTCACTGAAAGACGACAGAAAGGTCACTGAAAGTCGCCGGAAAGGTCACTGAAAGACCACAGAAAGGTCACTGAAAGTCGACGGAAAGGTCACTGAAAGTTGATGGAAAAGTCACTGAAAGTTGACAGAAAGGTAACTGAAAGTTAACGGAAATATGTTCGCTGAATGGTGACTGAAAGGTATCTGAAATGTGACTGAAAGGCAACTGAAAGGTCACTGAAATGTATGTGCCATTCGGTGGCTGAATGGCCACTGAAAATTCACTGAAAGTCGCCTTTCAGTTTTAACTGAAAGGTCTTGTTTCTTCCTGTGTATTGGAATATTTCAACTGATTATGTACCTTCTGTATTTTCATACCCTTTCCTTGACAGAAGAAGTCTTTTCAGTTCTTCAATCGAAAATTTATTTCCATAAAATATATTGCGGCATTCACTAAAACGCAAATCTAGAACACTGGAAAATCTACTGTTGTAGTGGGACGGTCTTCTGATATCAATTCCTTCTTCACAATAATAAATGATAACTAAAATGGTATCCTTTGCTAAAAGAAAAAAACAAAGAAATTGATATCAATCTGTTTGTACAGATCTCTTTTTTTCCAAGATGAAATACAATCCAAATACTTGCGATTACTTTACAGTCAATTCTCGAATTATCGCCATTCGATTCATCGCCATTTTCGCTATACCGCCATGAATTCCCTAGAACGTTTTTCCTGCTATATAAATTTCTCTTTATAACGCCAAATTCGCATACCGCCATCCGCCACCCTGTTTTCAAAACAAACGTCCATTTTTTAGTGTCAATTATCTCGATATACCGCCACAAGTGCGTGCGGTCAGTGAAGCGCGGCTAATTGGTTGACGCTATCTCTGTTGTAAAGCATGCAAAGCCAGTCAAGGTACACGCAATTAAATGATTAAATTAGAATTAAATGAACCAACAATTTTAATATGAACTGTTACAATGATTTTGTACTGTTGTTTTGTTTAAAAAAAACATTTAGTCACGGCTTCGCCACGAAAGCGGTAGTTGTAAAAGTACGCCGAATACGATATTATTCTGATGATTTCTGCTTTAAACAATGCAAAGTTTGCTTAAAAAATAATTATACGATATAAATGTTTAACGTTTCAAGAACAATGATGCCATAAACAATAAATTTATTCAAGAAACTATTTTACGTACGTTCAGCAATATACACGCTGATCGACCCAGCATGTTTTTTTTCAATACCAGACGTGCCGATTTACATGTACATAAATGCACATGTACATGTCTTTATTTCATAACTGCACATTTTGTTTTTAAGAAATTGTAAATAAAAAGTTACTTGAAGTATTTAAAATCGAGAAATATGTTGTATATACATGTACATGTAATTATAAGAATAGAAACGCTTTCTGGTATTTCTAAGAACGGTAACTCTATTTCTTGTTTCCTAAAATATGGGAAATTCAAATCATCGCCAAATTCGTTATACCGCCATGATTTCTAAATTACAAAAGGTGGCGGTTTATCGAGAATTAACTGTACTTAGCGGAACTCTTTCGCGATGGAGGTAGGAAACGTCTGTTTGATGTAGGCAAATGCACTATTTAATACAATGTAAGATCGATCATTGTAGAATCTGTAAGGACGGATAAGTAAAACATCCTAGTGGTATACCTTGCAAAACAATCGCTATACCAGCCTAATGAGAAGGA